TCGTGTAAAAACTGTAGTTGATTAAAGCGTTCTCTGGTAATTGGTTGGACAAGCAGATAGTGACCTTGACCTTTGACCTATTGCCTCTAAAAAATAGGTGTCAACTAGTCAACTTATGTCCCAAGAAAGTTACATCAACCACAGCTGCTTCTTGTTATTCGGAAAAATCAGATATGAGTACGTACTGACCGACCCTATTACTGTATGGTGCAACTTTATCAATAGGGGCATAGTAACATATATTGTAAGATAAACATAAATACTGACGTTCAAATGCGTTTAATAAATACATGTTCTAGTAGTTATGGTGAAATCTGCTTAATTTAAAAGTTCTATTTATATGTCACATTAATATGTACATATATGTCAAAATGAAGTTTAGCCCAAATACATGTTGCGACTTATAAAGCAAGTCTTAATATGTTGTTGACGAACTGACAATACAATATAACATACCTTCCGATTGATCTACTGATACACATACGATATCATCACGCATTTATGGGTGCTGAAATACAAGCATACTTAAAACGGTAGCATTTCAGGTACTTGAAATTTAGTTAATGCATTGATGCATATACATGCATACGATGACAAATCCTAGAACAAATCATCTTTAGTTCTACTTTTAAATAGAAATGTCACCGCAAGAAATTAAAAGTTTGGTGAAAGATTTCTTAACCACTTAATAAATGTATTATATTAACCTATTTGTTACACATGCATATTGTAAATGCTCATTCAAGGCCGTATCGTGTTTGTTTAAAATAGAACTGAAATTAAATATTTTCCCGCTTTTCAAACTATATTTTCCCGCTTTGAAATACGTGAAATCTAAATAATAGTTGTCGAAAATTTCATATTATATTCAATCAAACGTGTATAACATGTGTTGTTTCATTTCTGTTATCATTCATGGATATTTGATATTTATAGTTTTATCGACCTACTCTCGTTTTGATCATAAAAGTATGTACACTTATAATGATAACAGAGTATACTGAATGATTTGTGAGCGTAAATATAATTCGAAAAAATAAAATATGGGTTTCCCAAATTAACAAAATAAACGCGGGATAAAAATCAATGCAAGAGTGGTGCATTTACATTCTACCCGCTAAAGTTGCTGGATGACTCTTTAAGAATGGCTGCAGGACAGATTTCTTGTTCAGACAGTTTTCAGTCGGTTAATACTCGCAATAACCTGACAAAGCGTGAAGAAAGTGCCGTAAACACTGCTGTTGAAAACACGGACGGATTTTTAGACATTTTATCCGCTGTTTATAAACTGAAGATATTTCTTATGGCACAGCATAAGTATCATTATCTTCTGACACAAGTGTTAATTATTAATTGTTCTGATAAGGAAAATATTTTACGTTTTATATATGAACTGTCGGCTTTTGTGTCTTTCTCTAATTTAGTTGGAATGCTACATTTTGCAGGTTTCGAAGACCTGGCGAATAGAATCAGAAATAATATTGGAGACACTTGCAGAGAAATAGGTTATGCAGAACTATCGGGAAGTATGCCTTTTTTACAAGGCTTCTTTTACAAACAAAAAAGCAGGCTAGATGATAATTTGTTTCATTGCAGGAAACGTTATTTGCAGCTGCTATTTAACAAACTTACTTTAGGTATAAGGGGACTTAGTGGAATAGCGTTTGGGGAAAGGCCCCGTTGATAAAAGCAAACTGAAACGGGGGTTTTCGTGCCCCAACAGTGGGGAAAAGGTAAAGACATTAAAAAAAACTAAAAACCGAAAATGTTGAATTATTTTGTACCTTTGTAATGTCAAAAAACTTACCCCCGTCTTGAAATTTAAAAAGTAAGCTAGAAATACCTTTTGGGAATTTTTGACGATGCCCAGGGGACACAGAGAAACACTTTTTTAAAAGGGTAAAAAAAATTTTGAAAATTTTCGGAACAAATATTCTCATCCACCCCATGAAAGCTTTTTTATTCCATGACACTAGATATATTCACCAATTACGTTTCATGACGCATCAGAGCGAAGAAAACCGAAATAAAGTACAAGCTGATTGTGTTCAAGCAATTGATTTTTTTTCGGTATTCGAAAATGACTTGTGTTGTATATACATGAAAAGACTGTTTAGCCTTTATCTTGTCCATAATATCTTGAACGTTGGACAGAACTTCGAAATCGATGTATCAAATGAGTTTTTTTCTACAGAAGAAAAAAAAAAGTACAAAAAAAAAAAAACGACAAAGCCCCCCCAATGGTATTCCCTTTCCCTTGCCTTGAACCCGTTGCTTTTCCAGTCAGGGATTGCCCTGGAAGATTTTTCGGGGAAAGAATGATCTAGCTTGATTCTCAGGACGGAGGAATGCACGGAACTTTTGTTGGTGACATTAGTATTGCTTCTACCTACTTCACCCAAGCCTACAGTCTCAAGGACGATGGCACGTTTTTTGGGATAGAAGAAGATCATCTTATACAAATTTAAGAAACAGACCTTCCCCCAAATCCCATTTTGTAGAAAATTTAAAGGCATAAAACTTTAAACTTATGGGAAAAATATATTTTTAAAAAAAAAACCCAACAACAAAAAACAACCAAAAATAAAAACTAGTTTTTAAAAAAGAAAAAACAAAGGGGGTTAACATATTGAAAAATTTAAACCAGTATTTAATCTTAATGTGTATTAACACCAACTTGTGATAACCTTTTTTTCATTAGGGAATTATAAAAGAATTATTGACTTTTAAATCATTACATTCCCTTAATCATAAAAACACTTATTTTTATTGGTTTTTTTTTGTTAAAATTTTTAAAATTTTTCCCTTTTTTTTATTAACTATTTTTCCCTTTTAAACAAATTTTTTAAACCAATTTAAATCTTTTGCTATCTTTTAAATTTTTAAATTCTAAATTGTTTTTAAATCTTTCCTTAAACATGAAATAAAATGCATGTATCTAAAGATTCTAAATTTATCTCTTATTACATTTTTGCATCGATTTTTGAAAGTTATTTATAGACAGATTATTGCACAAAACAGTTGCAATGGTTTGTGTAAATTAACCTGACAAGGAAGTAAATGTAGTGACTGATTTGATATCTGCAATGATTTGTGTAAATTAACCTGACAAGGAAGTAAATGTAGTGACTGATTTGATATCTGCAATGATTTGTGTAAATTAACCTGACAAGGAAGTAAATGTAGTGACTGATTTGATATCTGCAATGATTTGCATATCACATTTAATAACGTATCGTCTGTGTTTTATCCGTGTGCCCTCTCCTGTTTTTGTTTCGTGTCCTGCTGGGCGGCTCCTTACTGTTGTGTAATATGATATACTCTCTAGTCACGGGGTTTTTTAACTCATTTTGTCGATTTGTTTCTTGTTTACTTTTTGATAAATCCCCTTTTAAACATGTAAAAATTGCTCTAGAAATTTAGATAAAACCCTTATATATATTAAAACAAGTTTTAAGGGATTAAAACTGACCATCGGTCTTTGCGGGAAAATAGAAAACCTTCCCGGATGGCCCTGTAGGGGCTGGGTTTTTTTTTGGGAGTTTGGGTTTTTTAAAATTCAAATTCCTTTTTTTTTGTTGATTTTTTGTTTTTTTGTTTTGGGGAATTAATAAAAAATATTGAACCCGTTTTTTCATACATTTTAAATTTAAATAAAAAAGGGGATCTTAGTTACTTTTCTTTTCTTTTTAAAGGGGCTTTTTGGTTTTTCCCTAACGGGAAAAAAAATCTAAGTTTCAACCCGAAATGGGCGGGGGGGACTTTTCCCTTTCACTTCATTAATTAACAAAACGATCAGGTGCGACAAACGACAGTATACAAAACGACACTTGATCAGGCAAAACAACAAGGAAGAGAAAGACTGTTTTACCTGTTTGAAAAAAATGTACGCAATGATTTAATAACTTTATCTAAAGCTACTCTCCCACACAAAACGGGTCTAAACATCAACATATTTGTTTACGGTAATTTAATATGCATCTAAGTAAAATTTATAGTTTTCACTAGATAGCTGTGACCTAACGATTGTTATGTTTCACTTGACACAGATATAAACAACCCTTTTATCACACGTGTAAACATGTTGCTAGTTTGCAGGTTGCAACAGCTAATAACTTACTGTATAAATCGGATTATCGAATCTTTTTATAGACATAATAATATTTTCTAATATATAGTAGGATGTAGCAATCGTTTGCAAGATAAAGAAAAGATAACAAACAGATCTACTTGCAACCAGTTTACGGGTGTGTGTATAATGTTAGTTAATATTTACTAAATAAAACGTTGCAACGGTTTAAAATTACAGCACGATAAACATAGCAAAAACGTTACTTTTATGGCTATTTTTCTTTGGATAAGACATTATCAATCATCTAGCAGGATATAAATGTATAAATCTATCGTAAAATTGTATCTTTTGATCACATTTTGTTTTAAAAAACTTCCAAACAACATTGTGTGGTATAATGACTTTAAAGAGGGTTTTAAGCTTTTATAACGATTAAATATGTTATTTTCTAAAGATAAATCGTTTTAAACAATTATCTTATAAAAAAGTACATAAACATTAAGGAAACCCCCCCGATACCTCTTCTTCCGGTCTGCTCTCTATATTTAATTTGATAAAGCTGACGATTTGTTTCCCGATCTTTTATTTTTATAAACGAACGTCACTTACGATATATAACGCTATCTTGAAGAAGGTTTAACAGTGAAATGACGACAGAAAATAAAAGCTGAAGGCCGCTTTAAAGCATATATCTTAAAAAAGAACGCTTATCAAACACTTAGGAAAAGTTCAAATGTGCAAGAGAGTTAGTATATATATAGTAATGTTTGAATAAAGGACTTATTTACCGCTTTAGTGCCATCGTAACATTCAGTTGGGTAGGGATTAATGAGTTAGATTAATGCGTCGATGTCATTTCATTTTTCTAATCTACAAAATTATCTCATAAATAAGCCGGACCTGTCACTCCTTTAAAATTACCGTTTAACTTTGTTATTCACTTACTAAATTAATGAAATAGTATTGTTATTTGTAATGGAAATTGAACTTCATTAAAATCAATATACTGAAGTTGAATACTACTTTCAAACAAAAATAACCTAAAAAATAATAACAATAGTTATAGGCTTTCAATTATTCACAAAGGTATTCATTTCAGTAAACGTTTTCCAGGTTTTGTTCTATTATTCATTCTTTCATCGGTCGATACTGTTCATAAGTTTGACATCCCGCATTTGACTAATATTTACTTTATCGTTAGGCGACAACTCTGCTCCATTGTTTTTATTGTTAAATATTGTATTGTTTAGATATATAATCTGCTGATCATCAGACCCAGTGGACAGGATACTTTTTTTAACTATGTATTCGTTGCGTGGTTAGAACCATTCTTGGTAAATACGTTGACTGAAATAGTGTTAATCTTTTACATTTGCTGATACTATCGCTGGGCATTGGTGTTGAAATCGAAAGGGAAAAATAGGAAATTCGTCAATGATTATTTAGAAGTCGTTTTGACATTATGTAATTTGATAATTTAACAAGCTGGTGGTACACCAACAACAAAAAACAGGTAAACGGAATATCAAGTTATAAGTGCCTAAAGAAACATTAACAAAGGTTTTTTTTGCACTAAACTTGCATTCATCCGGATATATTGTTTGTACGTAAGATTGTAATCATTTCCATTGGTGCTGTCCCCGAATATCGTCGTTGTAGTCATCAAAAACAGAACATGAGTCAAGAACAATATCCACCGACTGCAGGTAAAAATCTTTTTCTCCATTTTTCATAATGAAATGTGTTGAAAACTTCAAGAACAAATCTTGACTAGAAATGTGAAGATTTTATGGAAACTTGACTTTTTATCATAATTAATAAACGTACACATACTGAATGCGAATTTTACAAAATCATTGACTGAAATGATAAAGCAAATTAAAATGAATTTTTTATTAATTAATTTTCTACAACACTAATCAGTCGTCGTAATGTTATTTCCGACATCACTATAAACATACGAATGGGCTCGATTTCAATAATCAAACTAGGGATATGCCTCCGATCTGCTTGTAATCATAGGTAATATTTTGCACGAAAGCATTAAGTTATCAGTACAAATATTTTCATTTGTTTTTCTTAATACAGTTACATGTTTCATAAGGAGGATGACCTTCACTATTTTGAGATGTTTGCAGGTAATCTACAAATTAAATCCAAAGACGGTGGAAAAGTTAATTAGCTTAAAGCTGATTATACAGTTAAAATCTGATTGTTTTGTGACCATCGTATTAATAAAACGTGGAAAATATAAGGTAGTAGTTACATAATGACTTTACCTGCCATTGAGTTAGTTTTACCGCTATTTATAAACCTACTTGTCACCAATTATATCCTATCTAACATATTTCGTTATTCCGTCAAAAACGATTTAAACCATTTCTATGTACATATATATATATATTTAATATACCATACTGAACCTTGATTTAATTTATTTTCCTGTCATTAGTTCTTCCCGGACATGTGCAACAGGTTCAATATGGGGTACCTCCTGCAGGTCAATATGGGGTACAGCCTTCGGGTAAGTTAAAATGTCTAAATATTTACCGTCGTTATCAATTGTTTTACCTTGTAAAGTTATGGGTGCGATGGAAACCAAAAATTGTTCATCAGCTTGCTACATTTTGCACTTCGTACTTATGCATTAAAGTTATCTCCATAATCTGTATCATTTATAAACCAGTTTCAATATAGATTAAAATATCTTTTTGATTTTGCGTATTGTCTCGTTGCTTCGGCGCATCATCTCGTTGCTTTGCCGTATCGTCTCGTTGCTTCGGCGCATGTCTTGTTGTTGGGCGCATCGTCCCGTCATACAATTGCTTGACCGTCTAGTCGCTATGGTGGACCGCCTCTTCACTTCAGCATATCGTTTATCTTCTATTTGCATTATCGTCTAATCACCTTGTCCTTTTACGACAAGACAATTCACCAAAGGGATGAAATTATACAGCAATGACACGACAGGGCGATGCGCCAAAATGACTAAAAGATACGTCGAATCGACGTAACGATACGCCGAAGTCCATTGTCCCATCAGATGTCGTTGATACGAAGAAACGATGGATGGCCCTAACTGAAATAATTTTTATAGCATATAGCCAGCGATATTTTATATACGGCCTCGGTATATGTTATTTAATAACATGCTGATTTACTACGAAACAAATCGTAATATGTTAACATGAACATTAACAGTATACATATCTTTCAGTTCCTATTCCGCCTGCTGCAAATTTATGGATGCCTAAACCGGAAGCTTCTTTAGGTTGTCCACCAGGATTAGAGTACTTAAGTATTGTCGAAGAACTTATGTTCAGACAGTTCATGGATATTGCCCCAGGTTACATATTTACTATATTTACTCGAATTAAATCTAAGCGGTAACCGATTTTGATATATGTTTTTTATCAAATCGCTTAGGCCTTGTTAATGTAAATTTGTGGTAACCGTGCGGTTTAATTGTTTATTTAATTGGCTGCGGATTTCAAACACGGTTACAGCTGATGACTGGATGAACTAGATACTAGTAATTGACACAAGACAGCAATTGTCTAAGTTCTCTTTTTTCCTTGATATGATGTCATATCTTAAAATTTAAAACTTAAACATATTTTCCTCATTATGAAAATAATTTTTGTTTTAATAATTTCCATGTTGTTTAATTCAAAGTACCTTACTGTTTATTTATTTTCGTTGTAATACTTTGACCGGTCAGGAAGAATGGGTATGCCAACAGTTGCTAACAGCTGGTACAAAATTGAAAACTACATGGGGCAGCAAATTTATTTTGTCACTGAGGGTAGGTATCCTCGAGTAGTTTACTTTTTAAATGTTATGTTTCATATATTTAAACATAATATAAATTGAATATTGATTGGTATGAGTTATTGTTTGTAAAATTGTCCAAATTGTCACTAGCAATTTTTAACTCAGGCTTCAACTTAATTTGTACGGTAATTCAGTCATATACAGATACCAAAAGTTTATACGCAAGACGTTATTGATTATTTCGGTGTTTTATTCCAATATCTGAGCTCTGGAAATAAAAATGATATAGAAAATTGTGGGCATTGTTTATAGTACTCTATTTCAAAATTTGTTTTATCAGAAAACGTTTACTGGGAAAGCAAAATATATATATAACTGATGAAAATTCTTTCTAGAAACCGACATGAGCGGTGTGTGCCTCCCAGGTCAACGAGGGTATACGATCCACATATCGGATAATGTTGGCAGCGTATGTAACAATATGATAGCTTAAATTGCTAATGTTTAGATTATTAAACGTTAAAGACATGAGCAATTGTGATAATGAAACAGGTTTTATTTATTGATTTAATACTCTACCCTACAGCTCAGCTAATCAATCTATCACATTTTTCATTCATCTATAAACATGCATGTATCCAATATTATGGACATTTTTTACTGTAAATTTTGCACATAATCAAAGAAAATGTGAACAATAAAAGTGTTTGAGCATAAAAAATGGTTACCATTATTATATCTGGAATTTAATTCGAAGATCCTATCAGGCATCTCTTTATCATGACTTTCTCTAAGGAATCAGCTAATAAAACATAACATTATTATTCAGAACCAAAAACATAGGGTCTTTATTCAATGAACATGCGTAAATTAGAACATTTTACACAGACAGTCTAAGACCAGTATATAAAACTACTGATTCTTTCGTATGATGTTACGTCATACCAACACAGAAGAAGACCTCAGGTATACCTGAGTAGAACCATCGACGTTCCGGAAGCTAGCTGGATAGTTGCCTCACGTGAAAGAATCCAAAGTCCATAGCTGAATTTGAACCAACAGCGGTGAGGGGAAAGTGGTTTGAAATCAACAGCCTTAACCACTCGGCCACGGAGGCCCCTACAACTACTGTGTAACAATACTGAAGTTATATAGGCATTATAATATATATTTTTTAAACATTTAACATAAAATAACATTGAAATGTTGAGACAACACTAAGTTACTTATGACAAGAATAATGACTATTTATCAAATAACATGAAGAAATATAGCAATTATGTTTACAATACATCACATGATTTAGACAATGAGTAGATATATATATCCCTTATAGTTTTGTATATATATATATATATATATATATATATATATATATATATATATATATATATATATATATATATATATATATATATATATATATATATATATATATATATATATATATATATATATATGTGTGTGTGTGTGTGTGTGTGTGTGTCAGGAGGTTATGAGGATCTCTAGGAAACCCATCTTCTGCTCATGTTGTCCATGTTGTGGCTGTTGTGATCATCTCATTGAGGTAGAAGCTCCTGTTGGAAATATCATTGGTTATCTCAAGAGCCGGTAGGTGTGCCTTTAAGAATGTGTTTAAAAATGTAATGTTTTGAACTGTTATTCTAAATACCGACATGAATTTAGATATTGTAATGACAATTCAATCACATACTAGATTTGTTGAAATTATATATTTCTTTTCATCATTGCATTAATATTACTTTTTGTAATAGAATATAATATTGTTTCTATCTTTTAAGCTTATTTCAACTGTAAGCAGTTTACACAATGTCAAATAAGCTAACAAATAAAAAAATGCACATATTATGTATAAGATATTTGTTATTTGCAGGAAAAATTTTATGAGACCGGTATTCGTGATAACAGATGCCTCCGACGAGGATTTATTTTCGATAACTTTACCCATGTGTGCAACGTCATCACCGATGTCACAGCAGCAGTTTACGGTAAAAATTTTAATAGTTATTCTTGAAATATCTTTGCATAATATTTATTTAAAAAAATGCATTAACGTACATAGAACTCGTTCGACGTATTGTCTAGACGCCTGACATATAAACATTTGGTCATAGACTTACATAATTCAATGGAAGGCAGACATGTTTGATATAATTGATAGAATACAGGTATATACAGCGAAAAGGAGGCTGTATTAAGTTGTTTTGCATGATAAACTGTTTGTTTCCAGAATTGAAACTGAATTTCGATTTAAATGACAGCTAATCATATTAAATGTTTTGAAGATTAATTCTGCAGAAGATCAGTCAGACGTTGCTACAGTCACTAAACAGTGGGGGAGAATGGACTTTTATTACAGACAGAAGGATTTCAACCTTAAATGTAAAACTACTAGTCACTGTATATTTTTTATCACTTGATAGTTGCAACATTTAAATTTTAGTTTTGAAATTGTAAGATCCTGGGTTTTGATGTATGTCTGATTGGATTATTGTTTCTAAAGACAAGATAAATTCACATTAAAATAGAAAAATAAAATGATAAACAGCTACGATATTCAATTATAAAAGTACATGTATTTCAGTTCGAGATAACAGAAAATTCGATTTGGCACAAAATACATTGACATTGACCAAAAGGGAGTTGTTCAAAAATAACAAAGTTTCTCTGGACACAGCTTAAATGTTTAGCATATTCAGACTTAAAACAATCACCACAAGTCAAGTTCTTTCATAGAAAAGAATTATCCTTAGTGTGAATTTGTGTATTTTTTTCTGAAATTATAGAATAATGTATGGTGGCTGATTTCTGCCATTCGGGGCGCCGGACGAAAACACGAAAATGCGACACAGTCCATATTTTACTCAGAAGGGTGCAAATGCGAAATACCGAAAATATTACAAAATCCCCAGATTGTTGTACTTTTGCTCTGTGGGTTGCATAACACTATAATGGACTCCAGTAGTGACTTTGATGTATTTTCGTGTTTTCGTGTGGCTCCTTACGGAGCGACATTACGATATGACACAACTCAGCCACTATAACAATGTGAAAGATACGAGTAAGCATGTGTTATTATATTGTGATGATGTAAACGATGTTTTCAAAGCTTGTGAAGTTCGATGTGTGGAAAGCTTTTTATTTACTTTAATTTCATTGTAAAAAGATTAATTTCATCTTAACATTTTCCAATAAGAGGCATGCATTGTGCAATTTTCTACAATCTCTTTTATGGGCACACAAAATATTTTGCTTCCTCCACTTATAAGCTTGCACAATCAATGGAATCTTTATAGTCTTTATAATTTCCTTACAAAAATTAAAATTTTATCGCACCAATAATCGCAAAGTGGTCAAACTCTGAATTGAGACTTATTTATCAAAATGACAATGTTAAGTTATGTTTAAAGTTTAGTCTTGTATAAAATTGTTTAATGCCTTTTCTGACATTTTATGAGACACTGTAGGCTTTAGGCAAGGGAAGGTAATTTTGCCCATACTATTTTAACTGTTCTTACTTATCAAAATATTAATTGCTCTTACAGTTCCATTAGATCTCGATGTGAGGTCAAAGGCATTGCTAATGGCATCCATTTTTGTAATTGTAAGTAGCTTTCTATCAATCAATAACCTATCTGTAATGTTAGCATTTTCTCTTGATACTTTAAGTATTATTAAAAGTTAACAATCAATCAATAACCATAAAAATATATCTTAAAAAGACTGTAAGTATAATCTAAAAGTTATCTACATGTACTTTTATGAATATATCGTATAACATGACTAATCACAGTTGTTTATCAATTCTAATCAATTCACTTTTGATTATACATTTGAAAGTTGTTATGTTAAAAACTTTGTTAATTAGCAAACTCATTAAAGCCATATGCTAACTGTCGCTTCACTACCCTTCGCTAGGTAGGGAAGATCAAAGAGTAAGGAACGAAAACGATGATTTAATATTAATGAGATTGGTTAATTATATATATATTTTATGAAATGACATGTCACATGGCTCGCTGTTTTGTTTTTGTTTCTGAAGGATGCAATCTTCTATCCACAACATCAAATGGTACAGCAGAGGAGGAGGGGAAGAAGAATGTGAAGGAAAGCATTGGAAGTTCCAGACTATATATTTGTAACGTTTAATCCGTTTTAAAAAACACTCTCTAGCAATGATGCAAGACATGTGTGATTATTTATACCATTCCCGACTGGGGAATGAATATTTTATAATATTTTATATTTGTGTGAATGTACATATAAAATTAGATGACGAGTGAATTTTTTGCAGAGATATTTCTTAAAAAATGATCTTTTAAAAAGAAACTTGTAAAATTTCAAATTCATGTCGTTCACTTTCTTTTCTTTTCGTTTTGCCGAGGTTAACCTAACAAATTATAACAGAAACTTTACCAGTGACTCCAGTTTCAAATTGCGCTGTTACAATTATAGTTATAAAGTTATCATTTTCTCAGAAACGGAAATATTTTAACAAATTATAACAGAAACTTTACCAGTGACTCCAGTTTCAAATTGCGCTGTTACAATTAAAGTTATAAAGTTATCAGTTTCTCAGAAACAGAAATATTCTAAATTCGTCCATAACACAATAAATGCAACTGACCATTCGAATACCAGTGCAATGTCTGTGATTTCATTATCAATATTTCAGTCTGCCACAATGACGCTTGTAAAGCATTTATTGAATTGTATCCTCAAAGCTTCATATATGTATGTACAGTTTTTATTTGTTTGGGTCTTCAGACTCAAAGCAAATAATTCTATGATTACTTTTATTAAAAAAAACCTTTGCTTTGCTTACTGTCAAAATCACCCAATAGTCCGTCTACATTAATTAATTACAGTTTGCATTAATTTCTCATCCTTCAGAGAATAGATAAATAGTTCTCAACTGATCAAAGATTCATTATATTATGCATAAAGAAGCATTTGTAACAAACCAATTTTAAGTATGATTGAAATAAATGCACATCCATTTGCTTGTTCTAATTGTTTTTATACATTATTACAAACTCAGCAAATAAGTAGGTCACGACAGGTCACATGATTCAATTTACACTTCTACACACTAACACACATTGCAAGCAACTGTCGCACACAGTATCGAACAAATCAAACAAATTAATTTTATTTATTCAGGTTTATATGTAACTTGCTCATAGTTTAAATGGCTCAGTTTAAAGACTTGTTATGTCAATATCACAAAAGAATATTGCTATTGTGTGATTCCAACAAATCAAACACATTCATTTCTTTGATTTTTGTTTTGCTTAGCAGAACTATACTTGTATGAAAATTTGTACTCTACCTTAACAACAACAAAAACAATAACAACAACATCATCACGAAAATATCAGTTGTTAAACTCACATACATGTTCAATAATAAATTATTGTTCTGCCTTAAAAACTTTGTGAGGGAGCTTTCCGGCAAGATTGTCTGTACACACAAAGAACTGTCCTTCTAGCAATACTTAAATTACCACCATATCACAAGTCTTAATAAAAACCCGGTAAAACTAAATGTTGTAAATGACAATAAGCTTGATGGGTTATATATAATTTGTCCCTGTCAAGTGTAGTAGAAGCTGCTCATAGATTCATATTTCAATATTGTTTTCCCCATCTGCAGTCTAAATAGTTCTGACAAAATTAAGTGGGGCGTCAGTTAAGATCGGTTAAAGTCGTTGACTTCAAACCACTTGCTTCTCACCGCTGTGGTTTCGAATCCCGATAGTGATTTTGAATTCTATCAGGTGAGAAAGCTATCCAGCTAGCTTACGGAACGTCAGTGGTTCTTCTAAGGTGCCTTTTGTGCTCGGGGCACCTGAGGTCTTCCTCCACCAGTATAGCTTGAAAGTCGCTATATGATCTATACTGTGTTGGTGCGACGTAAAACCCAACAAAAAAGCAAACACAAAATTAAAGTGTTGCAGACGGTCTACATGTAAAGGAATACTTTTACGACTGTGTAAACATTAACAATACAGTCGAAAGTACATTTGCGGTCACGTGATTTCCCGCGCACCTGGCAACATTTTTAAACGTATTAAGTAAAAAGGATAGAAAAGAACAGAGTATTCCTCATTGAAGCAGCTACAGAAAATTTAATAACGGCAAAGCATGGGGTGAGCAAAAACATGGGGAAAGATAAGCTTAACACATGTTTCTTTTGTTTTCTAATTTACCTGATTACCGCTCTAGTTTAGTCTATTTGTGTCAGAACGCGATTTCTCTTGTCAAATATATCGATCTTTATATAATTAAAATGAGCTAAAGATTGGTAAAACAGATAAACACTAATGTGTCTCTCAAAATACAGTGATACATCAAAAAGGAGGAAATATATCCGCTTACATATAGACGATATCAAATTATTGAAACGCTTTCCGCGTGATTAACAATTGCTAATAATAAAGCACCCCTTCTAGATAGAAAAAGCGTCATGACGGTCATCCTTAAAATCTGCGTAAGGATAAAGGATATTATAATTAAATATCACAAATGACTATGTAAATATATCCCTTATACTTTTTGTATTTATCACGCACAGGTAGTTATGAATATTCTGAATTAAAGTCAAACAACGTGATTGTTACACATCCATATTATATTTCAACGGTGTATATCTTGTTTGCACTGTCTGAGTAAAACAAAACTAGTATTTTAAGAAAACTTCAGCCCAAACTTGAATTTTGTATTTCGAACTGAGCGCTCTTGATGGTGTTGATTCTGTTCAGTTGTTCAGTCAACTGCCTATTATGACTTTGTTTTTCAATATTCAAGGCCTCTCCCTTCTTTAGGGGTACTTTGATTTTTGGACCATTGGTAATTTAACGATCATTTACACTTTCGTTTTAGTTTCCATTCCGTCGTCAAAGAGCACATTAAATGTTCATAAGAGACACCCACCATGGTTCAACCTGTCTGTGATTTCAGGACATTGAATAAGTTACTAAGTTACAGGTGGCAAAGCTTGAAGTTTATAAAGAAATATATACAGAGCTTTGGGAAATATTAACATCTGCAAACATTATAAGCTAAAGAAAGTAAAATCAAAGCACAGAAGGCGCTAAATTTGTTTGGGTCTCAGAATGTCAGAAAGGTGAAGGTTGTGAGATTATAAACCAATTTGTTTGTATAGTGTCACCAATGCTGTTTCCAGTGTTATAACTATAGTAAATTGGCTATAAGACTAATTGCAACACTGCACTAATATTCAATTCATTGTTTATTTGGCCCTGAACTGGGGTTTGAACTCCAGACCTCTCGCTTCCAAAGCGATCGTGTTGGCTTAAAAAAGTGGCCTGAACTGAGGCTTGAACTCCTGACCTCAGGCTTCCTAAGCGAGCGTGTAAACCCCTCGACCACGGGGACTTATAAGCTAACAGCCTGAAGAACACCATATTACTCTAAATTAGAGTTTGTAACACTTTTTAATTTCGATATATGTATTTTGTTCACGGTAAACCTGTTGTTTAACACTGAAGTTAATAATCATGGAGCTGAATACAAGCATGCATATCGATAAGAATAGCACACTATTAGAAATCTTCGACCAATCGGCAACTTCTTTTTCGTTACGAAAATTAAGTCATTTGACAATCTTTACGCAGTGATCTCCCTTAAGTTTTCGGCGTTAATGTACATATGAAGGGAAGTAACCGCTTCGAGGAGTTTGGACTGCTTTTGGCATTTGCAAATAAGAGCATCAGGGCCAAAATTTCGCTACCATTATTTGTTTGGTCTGACGACCCAAACAAATAAAAACTGTTGCATTTTTCTGAGCTGTTTAAGCTTAGATTAAAAAAAAAACAGTATGATTGGCTTATTGAATGTCTTTACTGTACAGTAAAATATTCCAAAGTTATTTATAATTATTTCAGTACATCTTAACTGCCTATGAATAAACATAATACAGTAAACTATGACATTGATATGACATGTTACAACACTTTCTACGGCAATTAATTTATATCTATTTTATAATTTACATTTTCCCTCAGAAATATGTCTTGTTTGTTGGTGATTCCATATGAAAGAGGAGTTATAGAAAGACTGTTTTTGATACCCGCGTTGTGTCTACACGCGCTCGGGTTAGATAGAGACACTAATTCAAAGTCAATTTCAACAGTTTTAGTCTCGATTAAATAGTCCCCTTTACCCGCGATTACACATAAAATGAACTTAAAAATGATTTAGCTCTCCGTTTCCTTTAAAGATAAATGAAAAACAGAAAAGTACGTAGCTTAGAAGAATAAGCCAAAATAATAAAGTCGCCCTAAATTGGCAAATTTATATATATTATTGGTTTTAAAACCTCAGCATGTTCAATGTTTAAGCAAAAGGGATGGTAAAAAATGTAATTGATATGTACATTCCGTTAAAATAGTTTTAACAAAAGGGTTATCCAATATCAATAACATTTTGATAGATTTTTGTCATTTTATTCAATAATAGATCTACATATCGAAATAGTCCTTTGCTTTATGATAGTATATTTGTATGTATATTGACATTCATCTGCATTTTTAATATGATTTAAAAAAAAAAAACACATTGCATCCACTTAGCTGACTTATTAAAATAAGCAACTCACCTGTAGCACAATACATCTATTTCACTCTATGAAATATATTTCTTACGTGTATTATGTTTTACAAATATCCTCTATGTATTATTATTGGGTATATTTTTAACCTAACATTATTCATTTTTAATGTTCAACATTATTTTTTGTCCAATCACATTGAAGTATTTTTCAAATTTCTGCTCAGTCTAACTTTGGTTAATGTGTACTAACTAAATAAAATTTACTTAATCTGTCGTCTAACCAGTCTAACAAATTTCAATGATGCATTATATAAGGGAAGAGTTAGAGGTGTGGTTTGCACTCTGAATTGTAAAATATCTAGAATAGCAAAACAATGCCAACGTAAAAAATTAAGCGAGGTCAGGTGTTTTTAAATGTGAGGATACAATCAATTAATTTATAACATAGATAATACATGTGGGGCACGCAGAGATAAATGATTACATAGTAACTTTTTTATATGAAAAATGTCTGTTATAAATTGCTGACTGTTTTAAACTTTATATTTTCTAGAAAAAGTAACCAAAACATTATTTTCTTTCAGTCGATAGGAATGCACTGCATTAACAATCCTTGATATTAGAATACAATGTTTACATTTTTGGCTAGAAAACTCATTTTAAATGGACCCCACCTATAAACTTAAATTGACACACAGAAAAATAAAAAAAATCAACTGTTTTTCAAATGAGCAAATCAATAGGAATTTTAAATGTTAGTGAATATCTTGAAGCTAATAACGAATCTGTATCAATTAATAATCTTTAATGTATTTTTCTCAGATTTTTGTTCCAGATATGATAAAGGTATAAATTTTGTGATATTTCAGTATAACATGTGCCTAATTATATGTTGAAAGGGCCATTTATTTAGCTTATCTAAATGTGACATGTTAGAAACTTGACAAGGTGTAGACATCTTAAGTGGAGCTATAGGTGATTTAGAGAAATGCCTTGTTTTTGGTTGAAAAAAATAATGTTGATCATTAAATAGGTTAATGTTTAATAATACACATTAACAAAAATATTGGTCGCCTGCCTGCGGCAGGCTTGACCAATTATTTTTGTTAATATGTATTATTAAACACTAACCTATACTTAATACGTATTATTAAACACTAACCTATATATAATTACATGTATAGAAAAATCAGGACATTTCGTTGAAAATCAATAACATTGGAATGTTATTTGGGAATTCTTTAGGAATTTCGAGAAGTTAAATCAAAAACGTAACCGATATGAAAACAATTAATATTTTGTTTTATTATATTTACCATGTTAAATTATTTATAACTTGCTACAAGGTCATCTCATTATATGTAGCGTGTATTATCTAACCTTAACCTTTGGAAACTTAATAGATGGGTTTTTCCGAAATACATGTAGTTAACATCAACTAATATATTTCCATTTTCGTTTTCGTTGTAAAGGAAATTACAATCTATTCCTGCTAGGTGCATTAAGCATGAAGTGTAAGAAAAGACAGGTACACAATGATTTGGCAGAGATTAGCGATAACTACAATTTTAACTATATGTGCAATATTTAATTTGGCAACAGGTAAGGCTAATGTATTCTTAAAGTGACATTATGTTCTTGTTTGCATTGTCAAGTTGAGCTGAATTGACTACATGTTTCAACAGATTGGCTGCTCTAATGGTGATTGAGCAACAATTGATACTTGAACATGTTTAGGATAAGATATAAATCTGCCTGAAATGTAAAAAGATTGCCACTATCATAAAATAAACATTACAGGTAAATACCGATGAATATGTTTAGAAATTTCTATTGGCTACATGAGTAATGCGAAGTTATTTATAAATTTGAAAAGAATTATGCAAAAAAATAGCTTTCACGGTGCATTATCAGTGGCGGATTCAGGTCCGGGCTTCAGGGCTGCAGCCCCCCCCCCCCGCTCAGCCCAAAGATACGTTTACCAGCTTGGCTGGAATATATTTTTGGCAGTTTCAAACTTTATTGGCTGTAGTGTACTCCTTTATCAAAACAGTAATTGCTGTCATCCAGTTGTTAATATCCTGCCTGGGGGCTTGACAGAAGTCTTTATCTATCAACATGCTTCAATGACTTCAATGTTTAAACTGCACAATTGATTGGTTTATTACTTTCCAAAGGTCTAATAAAATTAATAGTCGCAGATAGTGGCAAAAAGATGTGTTACATTGTACATCATATTTTACTATCTTTGTTTTTCCATTTCCTATAATTAAGAAAATAAAGAAATTGAAAATTATTATTTGTAAATTAAAAAGATGGCAAGTTTTATAAAGATAATATTAAAGGAATCGCGTTTTAATAACTTGTTTTACTAAGATTTTTATTAAGATGAAATAATTGGTTATATGCTTTTAATAACTTTTTATGGCAGTTATATTTTTAAATAAAATTTAAATTGTACTGACCTCTTTAGTATTTAAAATGGACTCATTGATGGGAAAAATTCTAATTGAATACTAGTGTTTGAAATTATTTTTGTTTGTACATTAGGAAGGCAGTATTTTAATTAATACCACTTTACTTTGGAAAATCGTCTATTATACAGATAAGTAAATTGATCAAGTGTTTGAATTTATTTTTATCATCAGTTGTGCATACATTGGTTAGTGTGCTGTTATTTTGTGAATACTCACTACTAAACACCAGGGGGATTTCTTTTTGAAAGACCCTTGCCTGTAAACACTTAAACCTATACAAAATACAGTGTTTTGTAAAATCATCCAAAATGTACCATAAACAGCACTAGAAAGTCAAGGAAATAACACCATTTTCAACCTCATATTTCAAAATTTTCCCGGTCTATGGGAGGGGACACCCCTCCCAGGCCCACCCCAATTACATAAATATTTTTCTTAATTCCGTATCACCCAAAACGTTTGCAAAAAAATAAATAGTATACTCATATATAAGCGAAGTACATTGCCAGTCATAAGATGAGCTATAAACACATCAATTACAATTTTTTTGTGAAATGAACAAGATGCTGGCCCAATCTTCAATTTTCGCCCGTTGCATTATTTTGTCAAATTCTTCCACCCATGTGTCAGCCCCCCACCCCATGTTCTGTATCCGCCCCCTGATTATCATTTAAAGCGTTGACCCTTTGTCGACAAACATTGTATTTTCAAAGTTGTTTGTACCCCGGTAGAAGATGGGAAAAACCCACATTTGCCAAGTTCCGAGTATTTGTTTGTACCCCGGTATAAGATGGGAAAAACCCACATTTGCCAAGTTCCGAGTATTTGTTTGTACCCCGGTATAAGATGGGAAAAACCCACATTTTCCGAGTTCCGAGTATTTGTTTGTACCCCGGTATAAGATGGGAAAAACCCACATTTGCCAAGTTCCGAGTATTTGTTTGTAACCCGGTATAAGATGGGAAAAACCCACATTTGCCAAGTTCCGAGTATTTGTTTGTACCCCGGTAATAAGATGGGAAAAACCCACATTTGCCGAGTTCCGAGTATTTGTTTGTACCCCGGTATAAGATGGGAAAAACCCACATTTGCCGAGTTCCGGGTTTTTGTTTGTACCCCGGTATAAGATGGGAAAAACCCACATTTGCCGAGTTCCGGGTATGTTAACAAGTCAATGTTATTTGTATTTTATGTACGTGTTATTAATCAAGTATTTTATGGAGTGTTTTCTCTCGTAATCCTTTAACACCGACATGAAACAGATTCGCTACTTAAAAATCCACGTGACAAAGATATGTGACTATTTGTTCTGCTATTTGGAAACACCACTTGTCGAGCACGGAAGGCACCTTAGGTTTTCCTCCACCATTATAGCTTGAAAGTCGCCATATGAACTATACTGTGTTGGTGCGACGTAAAACCCAACAACAAAGGAAACACAAAATTAAGGTGTTACAGACGGACTACATTAAATGAACACTTTTACGACTGTATACAGGTGAAAGTAAATTTAGGTCACGTGATTTCTCGCGTACCAGTCAATGTGAACATGGCAGTATTTTTAAACGTATTAAGTAAAATGAAAAGAAAAGGACGGTATATTCCTCGTGGAAGCATCTACAGAAAATTTAACGGCAAAGCATGGGGGAAAAGATTAGCATATGTTTCTTCTGTTTCCTAATTAACTCAACAAATTATAACTGATTACCGCTCTAGTTTAGTCTAGTTAAATATTCATATGTTATTTTTAATTATTTCAGTACATCTTAAATGCCAATGAATAAACATAATACAGTAAACTATGACATTGAAATGACATGTTACAACACTTTCTACGGCAATTAATTAATATCCATTTAAAATTTACATTTTCCCGCCGAAATACGTCTTGTTTGCTGGTGATTCCAGATGAAAGAGAAGTTATAGCGCGTTGTGTCTAGTGGACTTTGCTACACGCGCTCAGGTTAGATTAAGACACTAATTCAAAGTCAATTTAAACAGTTTTATTCTCGACTTAACCCGCGTTTATAAATAAAATGAATTTAAAAATGATATAGATCTCCCTTTTCTTTAAAGATAAATGAAAAATAGCTTAGAAGAATAAGCCAAAATAAACTCTTAGTCGCCCTCACGCTAAATAGGCAAATTTATATGTATTATTGGTTATTTTCTATTCCAAGTGTCTGCTTAAAACCTCAGCATGTCCGATGTTTAAGCAAAATGGATGGCGTAAAAAATGTAATTGATATGTAGATTTCGTTAAAATAGTTTGATAGTAATCCAATATTAATAACATTTTGATAGATTAGATTTTTGTCATTTCATTTAATAATAGATCTACAAATCGAAATAGTCTTTTGCTTTTTGATAGAATATATGTATGTATATTGACATTCATCTGCATTTTTAAGTTGTTTCGACATGAAAGAACTCATTGCATTATTAAAATAAGGCACACACTTGTAGCACAACGCAATTATTTCACTATGTGTAATATATTTTTTTACGTATATTACGAGTATATTTTATAAATTTCCTCTATGTATTATTATAGTATATTTTCATACCTATCATTTTTCATTAATAATTATAGATCGTTGAAAATCAATAACATTGGAATGTTATTTGGAATTCTATAGGAAGTTTAGAGAAGTTAAATCAATAACGTAAAATAATATACCTTTTATGTGAAAACATTCAATGTTTTGTATTATTATATATATCATCTTATATGATTGTTAACTTGTTTAACTCATTTCATTATTAGATATCGTTCAAGCTTGTTTAAGATGTGTGTATATGTGGCACTATAAATAGATGGGTATTTCCGAAATACTAGTTATTTATACGTTTTATACATTTATATTTTCGTTTTCGTTATAAAGGAAATTAGAATTTATTCCTGCTAGGTGCATTTAGCATAAGGTGTACAAAATGATTTGGCAGAGATTAGCGATAACTACAATATCAACTTTATGTGTAATATTTAATTTGATTTCAGGTAAGGCTAATGTTTCTTTCTTAAATAGATGTTATCTGAATCTTGACAAATATGATATGGGTTTCCCCATCTAATCTTTGGTGCACTACCATTCACAATGGGGTAATCAAAGCTTTTATACAGTGCATTTACAAAGTTGTGACTGTATGTTTGTTTGCACATGGGAAAACACACATTTCCTGATTCAGGATTTTTTTTATTTTAGTAAAATGAATTACAATTCAATGTAATTTGTATTTTTTGTAATTGTTATTTATCACGTATTTTGTAGAGCTGGTTATTACATATTTATTTTATGCTTTTGGGTTGATTTATGATTTATCCGTGAAAATTATATTTGGTAACTTCAAAGTAAAAATTATCAAAAAATAATTTCACACTTTTCAATGAAGGGAGTACTTTTTAAAGATTTTCTCCATGTGGTACCTCAATTTTATTTTTGCTAACAATTCTGACATTGTCAAGGCTGTTTAGAGAAAATGCAAAGCTGAAATTTCAAAAGTCATAAAAAAGAAAAACTTACTTCATTCAAATTACAAATAACTAAATAGAATCTATCGTCTCTAATTTTTGTTTTGTGCATCTTGTAACAGCATTGGAACAAGTGGACACCTACTGGTTCCATAAAGCTATAATCATCCCAATGAATTTAATTTGTACAATACAGAATTCCTGTATTTGTATTCTAAGTACCCTAGGATAATATCACAAATACTACATGTGGAAAATCTTTTATGAGGGTCATATTCGATCTGAACACGTTTTAGGTGAATGTATGGGAGTTTTTCATTTTAAAGTATATTCAGGTGTTACAAATGTGATTATTTGTTTTCATTATTTATCTAACATACCTGAATGTGCCAGTGGCAAGGTTTGAAATTTATTTTAACCTATTCCTGTCAATATGGTTATAAGTAGAATATTAGACCCATTCATAAGCAATGTAATGACGTCATCATAACCATGCAGCGCAATCATAAAGACGCCAAAATTATGTAATTTAAAACGTACATGATGGATGTATATATTAATTGATAATATATAATTATATAATCATTATGAAACCCAGTCTGATATCTAAGTTTAAATGGTTGAAAATCAATAAAATACATGTAATGCTTAAAATCAATGTATGTATAATACTTAAACCAAAAAAGCGCTTTCCTTCTTATTAGTTCCTTTCTTAATTAGCGACAGTAGGATCCGTGTTAGAACAGCAAAATATAAATAATATATTTATAAATAAAATGAATTAAAAAATGATATAGCTCTCCCTTTCCTTTAATGGAAAACAGAAAAACAGAAAAATACGTATCTTAGAAGAATAAGCCAAAATTATATCTAAGTCACCCTCACGCTAAATTGACAAATTTATATGTATTATTGGTTAATTTCTAAGTGTCTGCTTAAAACCTCACCATGTTCGATAATTAAGCACAAGGCATAGCGTACAAAATGTAATTAACATGTAAATTCTGTTAAAATAGTTTGACAAAAAGGTAATCCAATGTTAATAACATTTTGATAGTTTTTTTGTCATTTTATTAAATAAAAGATCTACAAATAAAAATCTTCAAATCGATATAGTCCTTTGCTTTTTGATAGTATGTATGTATATTGACATTCATCGACATTTTTAATATGTTTCGACATGAAAGAACACATTGCATCCACTTAGGTGACTTAGTGAAATAAAGCAAATATCTGTAGCACAATGCATCTATTTCAATCTGTAAAATATATATTCTTACGTATATTATGTTTTACAAATATCCTCTATGTATTAATATCATTGGGTATATTTTTATACTATGTTTCATTTATAAATATAGATCGTTGAAAATCAATAACATTGGAATGTTATTTGGAATTCCAAAGTTAAACCAATAACTTAAGCAATATACCACTAATGTCAACCGACATGAAAACATGCAATGTTTTGTATTATTATATCTAACATCTTATATGATTTTTAACTTGTTTACAATGTCATTTTATTATATCAGATATCGTTCAAGTTTGTTTAAGTCGCGTGTATTATCTAATTTTAACCTTTGACAGATTGGGTATTTCCGAAATAGTTATCTTAAAATATAAACAAAAACATTCATTTTACCTTTTCGTTTACGTTATAAAGGAAATTAGAATTTATTCCTGCGAGGTGCATTTAGCATTAGGTGTGAGAAAAGATAGGTACAAAATGATTTTACAGAAATATACGATAACTACAATATTAACTATATGTACAATACTTCATTTGACTTCAGGTAAGGCTTTTTTATTTACTAAAAAAGATGTAATCTGGAATTCGGCAAATGTGGGCTTTCCCATCTTATCAATGAGTACAAACAAATTTTGACAGTTTCATTGTGCATTATCATTCACAAAAGGGTAATCAGAGCGTTGCGCCTTTTGTCGATATACTCGTACATTGTATTTACAAAGTTGTGACTGTAAAAAGTTTGTTTGTACACCGGTATAAGATTGGAAAAACCCACATTTGCCGAGTTCCGGGATATTTTTATTTAGGTAAAATGTATAACAATTCAATGTTATTTGAATGTTTTGTATACGTTATTAATCAAGTATTTTATGGAGCTGTTTTGTCATTTTTTTCTCTTGTTATCTATCAACACCGACGTGATACAGATATATTCTTTTTATTTTGCTACGACAAAGATATGTGACCATTTGTTATACTATTTATAAACACCATGTGTCACGGTTATATGACTTTTGTTCCCTTATCTATAAATATAAAAGTGATATGTTATTACGTTTTCTATGATTTACATGCGTGGGTCCTCGATCTGCTCCCCTTTTAAATTTCAATTTTGTTTAGTTCCGCCCATTGTTTTCTCATTTAAGGCACACACATTCTTTCACTTTCCATACGCCACTTTTTTAACATGTTCCATTGAAGATTCCATGATACCCGCTGTATGAACACATCTGCGGATGTTTCAAACATTCAAATTTTACCAGTTCATATTATATGTTGAATAATGCTTAAGCCGTTGCTAGTGAGCGTGGACGGTATTTTGCACCTGACAGTACTGTCCATGAATATACTCAATCAAACCGAGCCATGCCTTCTTCTTTTGGGAATCTTTATTTCTCTCTATTCAACCCCGCTATGGGGCAAGCCTTTGTTTCAATGAGCAAGAAATTAAACTCATTGCTTTGTACTGATTGGTTCCATGAACGAAACCGAGAGTTTTCGAAAAGCTTATAGATTCCAACACAGTCGAACTAAAATAAATTCGTAAAAACAAAACTATGATTGACACAAACATAACACAGGTTTTACACTTTTTGTTTCGTTATCTTTGACACAAGCATAAAAGATACATGTAAATATTTGTTTTGATACGATATAAGATAAGATATAATAAATTTGTCTTATGTTTTCTAAAACACACTTAAAGCACATTACATAAACATCACATGGCTGTTACGGCAATAATGGATATTGATCATACGAGAACTTGTTATGCCATTCTCGTTTTGTCTTTTTTATTATCTACCGACATACCTTTAAACTTCAATTATATAAAACACACAAATCATCAAAATAAACACGTGCAACTTGTAACAACATTATGTACGAATGGATTCTTAATGATTATTTTGGCTAGAATTATTTCAGTGAAATTAATTTGAACTATACTGAATACCAAGATTTGTATAAATTTAAGGACCCCAGGATGATATAACAAATATTACCTCTAATGGTCATATTCGATCCGAACACGTTTAAGTTGCGTGTATACAACGTATACAACATATACACCATTACTTAATTGATCCAAAGATATGACTGTAGAATAGTTCAAACAACATATACATATCGTTTAAGACATTGAAAATTGCACAATAGTCATTTTCTGTTAAGTTTCATTATTTCATTTCTTGTGCACAAACCTCATACTTAACTTATATTGATAAACTCTCAAAACTTTTAAGTTGTTTTGAATTTGTTTTCTTTTAATTTCAGGCGGAAATATTTCTATACAAAAACACGATAATAAGACTGGTGAGCTGTCATATGAATGTGGTAGAAATGCTACACTTACTTGTAACTTTAAGAAGAGCACATTTGCCATTTCGTGGATGAATGCGACCGATGTTATACCAATTGTAAAATGTACACACAATTCACAAAATAAATGTTTTTTAACCCCTGATTATGAAGGACAGTACAGATTTACATACGATATACAGGGCAGCTTCAATTTGACAGTTATAAAAATAACCAAGGAAGACAACGGGAGAAAGTTGATTTGTTCAGACGGTTCTGATAGCGATTATGAAGTTATAAAAGTTACAGGTTAGCTAGCATAATCATTAAATTCAATGTATGTCTAGTTTTCGTATGATTGTTTTGAAATGTGCAATACACAGAAATAAACTAACTCTTTTGAACTTTATCTTGATAGTTGTGTCTTAAAGCATATATTACAACGTGTTCTATGGAATGTCCCCATGTCTTTCTTTCCCTCAAATATAGAGACAGGCTAAGCATGCTTTTAGCACTAAGAATAAAACACACCATAATCAGACAGTTCTGTTCTTACATTATTATCAAATTTGTTTCAGAATTAATTTATTGATTATTAAATGTATTTACAGACTATGAGCCTCTTCTTTTGGAAGATACAATAAATGGGACTGTAGGGGCGATATCGGGCTGTATATCTCAACACACTGAAGTTTATTTTAAATGGATAAAGGTGTCAGTAAGTTCTTTTATATTAATTTAAGTTACAATGGAAATAAACTTCCTTCATGTACTTTGATTGGCGTTTTGTTCTTTATGACATAATTCTCGGTTCAAATGTCATTACTTTAAAAACGACTAGTAAAAGATACGTATTATATGATGCATCAGGTCCATCAGATTCGACCTGTAAAATGTTTGTAGGACAAGGACAACTAGAAGACGTGATTGAGTGATTTCATTATGATGTATTGCAACCATAAGAACAGAAAAAATACAAAAATCATAAATTGACTAAAACACAATATCAAGTCTCAGTTCTGCAACATTAAACGATTTTGCCATTCTCACAATCCTAAATTAAAAACATCTGAAAATGATATCATCAGAAGCAAACTTCAATCAAAATACCAATTATAGGATTATACACAGTCAATATGACATATCAAAACAGCCGACCAGGATGTTTTATCAGAATAGCGATCAAGATATTCTTACAGTACGTATTTGGCATCACCATATACCACAAGTATGACTATGGGGCCAATTACACAAAGTCCAACTATTGTTCAACAAGAACTCGTTAATCCCTCAACAGGCAAGTGGGAGATGGTTGTACTCGATCTTTCGGAAGGTCAACCATTCGTTACGTCTCTGCATGCCGTCTTAGATTGTGGCAAATTACATACTTCGAAACCATCTTGCTCCCCAAATCTTCCATTAACCATCAGCCCGAAGTTGATATAACGTTAAGCCTGTTCCTAAATGTTGTACCGTCAGGTAAACGTATGAGATAAAAGACTTGTGATGTGTTCATCCCTTGGAAGTATCACAAAATGTTTGACAAAGTCCCCTAAATCTGCATATTTCAGTCACCCACCAACCCAGAGTAAGTCATCGATAAAAATGAGCCCAACGGTGTAAAGCCTGTTAGTTTGTGGCAAAGAATGTTAATTTCATTCTAAAACGCCTTTCGTTGCAGGAGTCTCAATTGCACAAGTTCCGAGAACCTTTTCTCTTCCACTGATGGAGAATGAACACCCATAACAATGTTTTCTAGTCTCATGATTCTAGCTGTTACAGAGACAACAGTTTGCCAATTCAATAAAAAAAAGAAAAAAGGAAGAAAAAAGAAAAGAAAAGAATTCCCTTGTGTGTATAAGGATCGGCCAGGTTTAACTACAAGATCTCTCAGTTGTAGCTCATTTTCTAGTTTCGTTTCCTGAATCTCCTTTTCCTGATGTAACGCTGGACCCTTTAATCAAGAGGAACAAATGAGTTCTTGTGCTGTTCATCCACAAGATGCATGTTCAGCTGATCGGCTACCAGATTCCAAGTTGAACCATTGGAAGACGTCACTTGTTTCAATGATTATCTGCATACGATTGACGAAAAAGATACGGAACCTCCTTGATTTGTTATTAATGTAGCCAATGTCTGTCCATGAGTCGGACCAATAAACCTCTCTTGGAAAAGGATAGTCTTATTCTTCTTTCAAGAATAAAATTGTCTCGACAGAAAGAAAGCCGCTGTTATTTCAAGACGAGGTATGGTGGTGACCTTTAAAGGCGCAACCTTTGCCTTTCCCATTTTATATGTACAGCGAACCGATGTTTCATCTCCGAATCTAATATAGCTACATCGGCCATACCTGTTGAAGCTAGCATCTGAAAAGAGATTGAGTGTATGTCGTCCTAACCAACTCGGTTTGGCACAATTCTTGTAATTTAGGCTTCCCTGTCAATACAAATGGCGAGAGAAACCCAAGTGAATCAAATATCAAGCTACATTTAACAGCAGTTTGTGTCTGACAGTTGTCTGAATGTTTTATACGTCGTCAATAGTAGTCTCTTTGACACCAAGTTTACGTTCAACCGGTAGAACATCAAATGCCAAATCTAACCTTTTTATCTCTATGGCTCGTTTAGAAACTGATATTGAGTCAATGACGCCTTTTCTATTTGATATGAATTAATGCAGACGTGGACGTCCATTTGCACAAAGCAGCTGTGCAATCTGTTTAAGTTATATATCTTCGTTTTCAATTTCTACAATGGTCAAACCATTATCTATAAAAGATTGTTCTGTACAAAATATAATGCTTGCAAGTACGATTTCTTTTTGGAATTAGCTAGGTATTTATGGCCATAATTTGCACACACATGTGATGATGCTGCACCAAAAAGGTGACGTTCGTTCTGTATACTGAAAGCTTTGTGTCAGTGTCATCGCTCTCAAACCATAAGGAACGCAAGAAGATTATGTTCACCTTTCATCAACGAAGAATTTATGAAACATTCTTTCGATCACACACATTATCGCCACCGATTATCTTCTTAATCTATACAGATCACCTGTAGGACTATTCATCAGATCTTGGCCTGTACGGAGTTCATTTAGCGACGTACCGCCATACTTTGCAGAATAGACGAATACTTCACGCAGCCTATCCGCCTTCTTGTTTGTTTGTTTGTTTGGATTTTTACGGCACGTCAACACATAACTGGCCATATCGTGCCGAATGCTATAATAGGCTTAAAATATTATGTAAAACATTGTAAATGACAATAGAAATGAGCCAATTAGATCCTAGAAAACAAGTTTATCTCTTTTAAATAATCAATTATGTTTTTTGATGGAATTGTATTAAAAAGTTCTTTGAGTGAATTTACAGAATAAAATCTATTACGGGCCTGTGAAAAATCATGACATTCAAGAAGAAAATGCTTGACAGTAAAAGTTTCATTACAACCTACACAGAAAGGGGCATTGTCATTTGTGAGGAGATAAGAGTGGGTAATTTTAGTGTGTCCAATTCGGCATCGAAGAAGAACTGTTTGATCACGGCGGTTTGACAGAGATAGAGATGGTGACATATCAAGAGATGGGTTTATATCGTGAAGTTTATTAAAAACGGCATTGTCCCAATTTGCTTTCCATTCAGATGATACGAGTTTATTTATAGCCGGTCTAAAATCACAAGCAGGTAACAATAAGTCAGTTTTTTGAAAATTTAATGATTGTTTAGCTAAAGCATCTACTTTTTCATTTCCTCGTATTCCTACATGGCTTGGAATCCAATATAATTTAACATATTTTGTTTTTAGTATATCATGAAATCGTAAAAGAAGTTTCTTTACCATGATATTGTCAGATTTTTTATTTTTAATGGATATTAAAACAGAAAGCGAGTCAGAAAATATCACAAATTTATCGTGGGTATGCTGTGCTATGTATGACAATGCTAAATCGATAGCTTTTGCTTCAGCAGTAAAAATTGATGCATTATCTGGTAACCTCATACTAGATGTAAAATTATTTTATATCCGGCTTCTAGGGATGATATATACCATGATGTTAGATATACCATTTTGAACCTCCTGGAGCTTCCGATTATACTAACTCTGCATCACCGCTGATGATCATATCTACCATAAAGCTTTGGTATTGACTAAAAAACTGTTTTTACATGAGATTACGTTTTAGATAAACAGAACATCAACATCTGCTAGTCTTTTGTTGCCTTGCATGAATGGTCTTGTTTTTAATAGGAAGGGGTATTTCTAAACGAAATGGCCATCTTCTCTGTTATGTATGTTTTTCTCTTATTTATACTTTTTTCGAGTAGTTGAAGAAAACGAAATGAATGAATGGCCTCTTTTGATACATCCTTGAAGTCTGATTCAAATTTTTCGTTTGTTGTGCAAAGAGTTTTTCCTCAATAGAGGCGCGGTGACATATTTCGCTAACATTACCAGGTTCAATCTGCAGATCCGTATTTCATACAATACTTAAACCGAGGGTAGCCTGAACTGCGTATGGCTCGTCATTCACATCTTTTATTGTCCGTTTCGGTGCTAAATGGGCAGTTTTACCCTAGAACACATGACTGCAACGGTGGTATTTCATTGACTATTTCTTGAAGATGTGTTCACCGTTTCGCAGTTTCTCTTGTTGGCATATGCGGACGATTAGCAGGAATAAATCCCCTTGTGTACGCACAGTTATTGCCACTATTCTGTTGACGTAAGCAACGGACTAGAATTCCCGTTATCCCCTTACTTTCATTGACTGTTTGCTGTGAAGTCATTGTTGATAGGTTTAGCTTGGTGGGTTTTCTTTCACTTTCTTAGGCTGCTGACGTATCTTCATGACTAATGATAATGTCGCTCTGGGTATCCAACAAGGCATATGCCACATGAAGGTTTATGCTCCTTTGATATCAACACACTATGTCTTTCACTTGATGCATTTCTCTTAACTTTGAAAGACGTTGCTGCATTCATAACATCGTTGCAAGCTTCACATGTTTCTTTGTTAGACCTTTCCTCATACATAAACGTTGGATTACGGCCTCCTTTACACACTCTGCAGGTCAGCTTTCTTCGACATTCATTATTTCCATGAACCTTTCTGAGGCAACCATTATTAACAGTTTTGCTGACAGCTTATTGCATCTTGGCTCTTTCGATTTGCGTTCATCGTTAACGGCAAACGGTGATACAGGATTTCATTCAATTATTGCTCTAATAATAGAATTACCCGTAAATATTGCGAATTCCGTTACAGGCAATTGAAATCGACTAGATTAAGGGAATCCGAGATAACATTTGCAAACGAAGGGCTTATTACATAGTGTATAGAATATGTTACTGGAACTCTGTTGAATATTTGGAGTGGCAGGTACAACTTGCGGAACTGCCGAGGAAAGAGTTGACAGTATGCTCAATTGTGGAGTAACATTATATGATAAGATGGAGCAGATAGAGCAAGATAATCTATAGAAACTGCACTGTAAAATCCAGGAGGCAATTGTAGGCACGGAAAGTCCAGTCTGCGATATTGTAAATAAATCTTTGTCTTGGTCAGTTAAACTATGTTTCATTTTTTGCTATGAAGCACTTTGGTCATGCAGCTGACGAAAAAGCACCGGACCTGGTTCAAATTTCACATTGTCTATAATAAGATTTTCTTCTACGCGCTTCATTTCTTTTAATGTAACAGCAGCAACCTCAAAATAACTTTGCAAACCCTTGCATTCCATTTCAAACGTCCATATACTTTTTTAAATTTACATGTTTTCCGACATGACTTGAGTCCTTTGTACTTTTCGAGAAGGTCTTTGTACGTCACTGTCACCTCTATCCACAGCAGACAGTTCAGTCAAATAGAACTAGTCTGGGCGAAAGTAAAAAATTAATAAACGAAATAAAGGCCCTAACTCTGATGAAAATACAGAACTGAAATATACTGAAGATATGCACAATGAGACTTGATACTGATCATTCCAGTAAAGTTTGGATGAAAATTTGTAGCAGTAGGTTTTGAGAAGTAGTTAAGGACAGACGGATGAGCAGACAGACATACTACTAAGAAATGATCCTTATAGTCATGGCTACTTTGTTAAATGTATTGACTTTTGTGAAGCAGGCAACACAAAAATGTAAACAGATCAAAACCGTAAATATTGCTTGCGTAATTACGCTACCAATCAATAATGTAAAGTTCTATTCAAAATACATTACTGATATAAGAGAGGAAGAATTAGGAAATTTTAGAAATAAAAATCACTAAAGGAGCATAACTCTGGCAAAACCATAAGACTAAAAATTGGCGACGATATGCATAACTTAACTTGGTACTGATCATTCCAGTAAAGTTTGAATGAAATTGCATCAGTTGTTTTTTAGGGGTAGCCGGACAAGTTTTGTGAAGGAAAGACATACGGACAGACATACCACGGAGGAGTAATCCCTACATGTTGCCATAGACCTCAAATATTGTTACGTTCGAAAGATTTGACATTTTTAAAAATTAGGGTTTGGTGGAAGAAGCTATATGTTGTTATACAATTTCTTATAGGGTAATAATTATTAAAGGGAGATCAAAGGAATAAGCCATTTTAATATTGTCATCAGAATATCCTTCTTTCCAGTGGTTGACATCTCCAGTCCGCTATGTATCTAATGAACAGTATGAAAGGCATTCCATTGACAATACAGTAATTGCACTTTATACTACACTGACTTTGCTCAAATGGCTAGACGTTATTAACCTTCAACAAACTGTAAAGAGCTTACACTGGATTGTCCTGCTTCAGTGAAGCTTTTCTTAATGCCTGTTAAACAAAAAGTATTTAGACTTCAGATTTTAAAAAGTAAAATAGTAAGAGTGACACTAAAATGAGTGTTAAAGCACCACACTAAATGCCGTATAGAATGAATAAATGCTACAAACTCGCCTTTTCACCTACCGAAATGGACTTTGAGACGGCTATTCATCTCCTCACACGATTTATATACGACCATGAATGCAAATGGTAAGAATGGCAAAAAAAAGGGTATTTTTTACTACATATGATCATGATTTCTCTCAGGTGTTTAGAAGTATTTCCCCCACACTAGAGTTTGTTAAATCCAAAAAGTAAAGGTAATTTATTACATTTATGTAGGTTAGTAGTGGAATTGAGGAGGAAATAATTCCAACAATTCATAACAATTATACAAGAAGGTGTTCGAATGATTCTGATTGCGGGAATGATCAGCATGTACAGTATACAGAGACAATTTCCGCCAAATCTAGTGACAATGGGAAATATTTTCTGAAAGTTTTAGCGGTATATGAAAATGCAAGCAAAGAATCATGCAATAGTGCTTACAAGTACCTGATTGAAGAACATGGTAGAGTTTATTTTATTTATACTCATAATTTTGTAACTCAAAAGCTGCTCATTTACTAAATTAAATGCTAATTTTCGAAATTCTGGTAAATTGCTGTATTTTTATGTGAGAGGGCATAATAATGATCAATAGTTCAATGCATCGTTGAAATTGAAGCGGTGTTTATTTCCTCAATTCGTTTTAAATCAGTAAAAAAGGCAACCAAACATGTATATATGGATTTCGAAACCAATATTTTATTGAAGTTTCCGGAAGCATTCTTGTCTTTTAAGCCTACGGAAAATTAAAAAATAATGTCTTGTCTTTATTAATTCTTAGCACTGACTTGTCCTTACAATGCAATATGCATTTAATAAAGAAAATGTTTCATTGCAGATAAACGAATCATCATTGCAGTGGGAATTGGAATTGCTGTGCTCTCTGTAGCAATTCTTTTAACAGGGTATTATGTGTGGAAATGTTGGAAACGAAGAAGAAAAAAAGAGAGAGAGAGTAAGAGATTGTAAGTTTATTAGCTTTCAATTTATTTTCTTAATTATGATGAACCATCATTATATTGAACAATCAACCAGTCCGGAAACATTTAACGGACAAAAGGCAAATGACTGCTGTGTGTTTAAGAAATGATATCGGTTTAACCGGTGTTAATCAGCTATCTGACACCAATTTGGAGTTTTGATACTTAAGATTTCCCCCATTTAAACGATAGGATTGAATTATACATGACATCTTGCACATCATATTTTTAATGACCGTGATTGTGATTTGAAGGTTTATCATGGTGGCTGATTTGTTACACATTTGCACGTTGCGTTGTTGCTGGCGACAACACGCCAAATGACCTGTTATCACCTTGTCGTCCTAGCGAAACATACCAAACGGCACGTTGTCTTGCAGCGGGTTGTGACGATGACACATTTTCGATTGACTCAAATTGAAGAATTAACTTATTGGCGCTTTGATGCTCACAACACGAGCCAAGTAACAACACGATAAGAAGCAACCCGATGTAAGCCAAGCGACAGGGTGACAACGCGCCGAACCATAACAAACAGTTTGGCACTTTTGCAGCGACAAGACGAAATTGCAATACCGTTATTTGATGTGTTGTCGCTAGCGACGATGCGACGCTCAAAAGTGTAACAAATAAGCCACCATAGTTTGTTGTTACAGTTTTCGGTCATGTAGTTTAGAATGGTTTTTGCTCTTTACCTTTTAAACTTTTCATCACAAAGTCGTCATAATTCACATATTGATTAGTCATTATGGGATCTGTAGATCAAAGGGTAAGGTCTTTATATATCACATAGTAATAGGTTTTAACAAGTAGCTCATTATTTGTCTTTGTTCTACTTTAACTGAACACTTCCATGTGCCCATTTGAAATATTTAATGGCAAAATTACTAATAGTATGAGTCAAAGGCTAGAAATGGGGATGGGGGGGGGGGGCATAAGTGTAGTGAGACATTTCTTTTTTTTTGTTGTTGTTGTTTTCATTCTGCCCCTCACTTCCGCGAATCTCGAGTCCCTTCCACAGTACCCTTTTAATTTACGGCTTATCAATTAATCAACTATTTGTTTAAATTAATCTCCTTGTCGGTAACTATTATTTCTTTTTTTTAAGTATCATTAAAGTGATTATCCTGCCCATGCTCTTCCTAGTGGCCTGTCCTATTTTTTGTTTGGGATCCTAACGGTCTCCTTGCCGCTTGTTCATGTCGGGGTTTCGTTTATTGAACGCCGCCTTTCCTGGTTGATCTTGTCGATCATAGTTTTAGTGACAATCATTTGCCGACTAATGAAAAAACTCCAATTTTCAAATAAATGCTCCTCTTTATCGCACATCGTCAATTTATTATTAATTATTAATTATTATTACACTTAATTATTAATTACTTGGAACGAAGTGCGCATGTGTAAGCTGAATGTTATTAGCCCGCCTTATTATGACGACGTTACATTGGTAAAATTCTAGTCGAAAACTAGCTAGGTCAACGTTTCTTCACACCATGCTTTTCATGGCAGGTCGTTTTGTTCATAATCATATATGGAAAATATATAAACAAACCCAATATTTTGGTAATTTTGAACAGCTGGCATACATTTATCATAAATGGATGATGATTGCTATTTAAAAACTAAATAAATAATGCAGACAGGGACATGAAGATTAACTACTCTTTTCACATTGTTAAGGGGTTATTTCAGTATGTTTCTCATGGAAGCGAGAAAATCTTGCAGAGAAGGGCTAAGGTTGATATCACAAAAATCATTCACGTCTGATATATTTCAGAAGATGTCAACATTGAAGAAATTCAGAGGAACACAATGTAAATTACGTGCACTCTGTAACCAGACTTACTGTTGATATTAATATATATTGATTGCAGTAACTGATAAATTAAAAGATGTGCCCCATTTACTCCGCCCATTGTATTGTAAAAACTTTCTTCTATAGGCTTCCTTTGGGGTTCTTAATTGCTTTAAATTTCACTACATAACCAATAATATATACTTAGAGGTTTCACAACTGAACGAGAAGTAATGTGTCGTAAAACTAGCAAAATGTGAACAAAGTAGTATTTATACAGTTTCCAGCAGATCAAAAGTAGCTGGAGAGAGTGCATGAATATGGCTAATAAGGTACTAAAATACAAAGGTTTCTACCAAAGTGGCATAGTCCGAGCTTATAAAACCCTACCTTAATCTCTAAGTATGATGAAGATGTGTGTGTTTGTTGTTGGTGTTGTTATCTGAATGTGTGTTTGTTGATTGTTTTGTTGTTGATTTATTTTTGATTTATTTTTTCCTGCTGTATCTATTTATTTTATTACCCGAATTAATACCTCATTTGGTACATTGCCCAGCAATAAATAATAGTAACTTGGTCTCTGAATTAAAAGTCTTATCATTATACATTTAACTTAACTAAAATATACCTTTTAGCCAAATGCATGAAGAAGAATACACACAAAATGGATTGTTAGAAAAAGAAAAAGAAAGAGATACCCCAACCTACCCGTAAGTAATTTAATGCACATAATTATACTCATAAGAAAAGAAAATGCTAAACTTGTTCCTGGCAATAGAAGTCTTGGCATTTTTGTCTCCTAAATTCATTAAAGTAATGTTGTCTAAAATGGAACGTCTGTTATAACATTTAACATTTATGTCAATAGTATTAAGTATTGTGTGTGACAACAAACCACGACAGAATGAAATATGGGTATTGTTTGTAAGTGTGAGATACATGGTCCGATTTTGCTTAAATATACATTTACATGATTAGTAGATAATGTATTGTCATAGAAAAATAATATTTCCCTTCATATATCTGTTACTTATTACCAGTTTATTCATTGACCTTTAAAGACAGAGATCGTTTATAAAATGATAATTATTACATGGTCTCTTACATATCAGGTGTTTTTTACTAATATGAATGTCATATACATTACATGTACTATATCTTTTTAAAAAGAATGCTCGAATGACAAGACAATTCATGAAAAGAAACGGAAGAAAAGCTAAGCGACACCAACAGCCATTCGTAAATTGTTCAGTGATGTCATATTTGCCCCACCTTCTCCCTTACCAATACTTAAAAAGCATGTGCTAAACTCCGCCTAAACTGTTGCCCGGCAAATGATGTCTTGTTCGTTTTGTCTTTTCAATACATTAAACTGTTAATTTATTTGAAAACGATCACTTTAGTTGGAAAAATGAATTTTGCACACTTTATCCAAGAAAAAGTTCGATTTGACCGCGAGTTCAATTATCTTTTTTACTACGAATTTGTATGAACGTTTCTTTTTTTACATCTTCTTTGACACTTACAGAATAAACACTATATGGTTTAGAAAGAATGCATATGTACTTTTTAAGCAGAAAAAATATGTTTATTGGAATGTCATTATACGGCGCATTTTATGTTGACTTCATTATGTATTCTAAAAGATATAGTGTAACTCTTGTTTTCAGGAATGAAGACAAAACCCCGCCGAATGAAGGAGACATCATGGAACTTAAAAAAGAGCAGTTCGATCGTCGTCGTCGTCATCGTCACCCAGAAGCTGTCCACGTGTGACGTCAAATCAATAGTTATCAATATCAATTTAATTTGCTGAAATAAGCAAACATTGTTGCATTATTCAAGATATCATCGTTTGTATTACATACCGTATTACCGGCGCCAGTGCTGACATATTGCTGCAGTGATGGTAGTTGTGTTAAGTGAAAGCATCGTTGCAGGATATGCATTAATGCGGTTTACCAGTACTATTTGCCTTCAATTTCGCAATCAAATCTGTACATGCTAGAGCAGAAATACAGTGAGGATGACCGAAAAACGGATCACAATTAAATTGTGCTTGCGTAATAAACCAATCAAATTTATAGCCTACCTGTTGTAATCAGTATGCAGTAAATTGTCATCAATATATCATCACCGGTGCCGGTAATACGGGGTGTATTAGTTAAATGTTTCTTCATCGAATGAGCTTGCTTGTATGTTATTGATTGGTCCGATCGTATCATGAAATGTGTTTTGGATAGTTTAAGGCGTAGCATTCATTCTTCGTGTTTGTTTTTTATAAGGGGAGTATATTCTTTTATACTTCTATTTTGTTGACTTTTGTATCAGTTTTTGTGACATTACTTTACTTGTTTTCTGAAGTTGTAGATTATGCTACCTAAGTTGTATTTTGTACAATTAATATGTCGTGGGGGGCTACGTCTTTGCCTTTGCCTTGTTGATCTTTGTTCTCTTTTTTTAATATCACAATGAAACCATCTTGATTGATTGGTGACCATTTTATTAAAATTACTTTACTATCACTATATTTTATTTTCAATATTATTTTATTCATTATTGGAGGGACGTGCTGGTATATTCAACGAAATGACTTTCTTGGGGTTTTAGACAAATCTCCCTTTTCTTCTTTAATAGATGCAAAAAGCTAGAGAAAGGCAGTGAATTTTTGTTTGATAGTTAACATAAAAATATAGAGCATACTATTTATATGATTGAATGCATTTTAAAAACAAAACAATGTTACGGTACATTTGTATTTTCTTTATACATGTGCAACAGGATGCCAATAACTAAATGGATGAAAAACTAATTTAAAATTAAAATGGATAAAAACTAAAATGGATGAAAAATGACGTTCATGCTCAATCTAAACTGAGTGCCCTATCCTCAGTGCACCATCCCATATGCCACATCCCCTGTGCAATATTGTTACGTTCTAGTGGGTCGGGGACTCTTAAGTATGCTGGATACCCTTTACTTAACTGTATATTGGCACTCAGGCTTTCAAGGTATTAATGCAATCAGATACAGAACTGATGTGCTGTGTAGATCTCCAACTCATTTGATAGTAATCAGGCAACACCGTTGTAAACAGTTATAAAATTTATTCAACAGTTTAATAATATTTCCAATAACAATAATTGATCATGAATAATTTATATCAGCAAACAGCTCTCATTATACCTCAAGGCAGCTCAAAAATCACCTTACAATAATTTAGTACTGCTACGCCTTCAAAATAATATTTAGTACTGATGAACCAAAAAATCTCCGTGTTAAGTATGCGGTGACAATAGTTACCAGATTTACTTCAATGAACAGTGTAGTAAAAATACTAAAATGTTATATTATGTAAAAGTTATATAAAATTCTAATATCAGATGTATAAAATATCTAAGCTCTGTATTTAACTCAACTAGATATAATTCTAGTATTTTAATAAACTTGACTTGTTTGTTACTTAAATTTAGCATACAATTAAAATTATTTAAGATTTCAGCAGACAAATTATAGTACGTCTACTACCAAGAATTTCTAAATCTGAACTTTTTTTGTGACCAATAATCTGCTGCTTTTATACTAGGCAGTGGTAGAAATGACCAAAAAATGGGTAAAATACCAAGAATTGGTTAAACCGACCCTGAATTGGTAGAAAGGTAGCTACCCAAAAATGGTCGATACCAAAAACTGGTAGAAAATCTCTACCAAAATCAGGTAGAAAGCTAAAAATTTAACAAGACAAAATGGCTAAATATCCAAAGAAAAAAATTAAGACTCATGAAGTTTAACATTGAATATTACAATAAATATGGTACTTCACTACATAGCAATACACAGGTTTAAGATGAGTCATCAATATTTGCCCAGAATGCACTGTTAAACATGGCGTATCGAGTGCAAAGGGTAAACGGAAAAAGGGATCGAGTGAGAGTACACTTTGCATATTTAGCCCCGCCTATAAATTAAGCACGAATTTCTGATAAAGCGTTATCATCCTTATTAAAATAGACTTAATAGCGTCACTGTAAAATAATGCATATGATTAATCCTCCTAATAAATATATGCATATTTCAAAAAAAAGGAAACAGGCTTTAAACTTCAGGACATACAATTGTACAATAATAGTTTTTCATTCATATGCCTAATAATTTAATCAGTTAGGATATCAAGTAAGATGATTATAGGATCATCTGAATGCACATGTACACAATGTATACTTATGTTCATTAAAAATATATGAGGAATCACATTATAAGAGGACCAAGAGATCATCTACATGAACATATACTCTAGTTTTGATAGAAGATGCATGAGATGTTAATGTAAGATGAGCAGGGAATCATCTAGATGTAGATATACACTAGTAGTGATGGAATATATATGAAGAAGGGTCATCTGGTCTTTAAGGTGTATAAACACTGTAGTTCTTAAAGAACATATATGAGGGAAATGCATATAAACATTTTTATTATGGAACAGATATAAAACAGATTAATACAGAATCCCTAAAGAAAGCCCAACGCGGCAAAATTGAAAATGTTGCAGGCTCGGTTTGATTGAGCCTGTTCATGAACGGTACTGTCAAGTGCAAACTACCGTCCACGCCCCCTAGCACCGGCTTAAGCAGAATTCAACATTTAAACATGAAATAGTAAAATTTTGAATTTAGAAACATCCGCAGATGTGTTCATACGGCGGTTATCATGGAACCTTCAATGTGACACGTAGGTGCCATTCCATGAAAAGCGGCGTATGGTCCCCAAGTAATAAAAAGCGTGTGCCCTAAACGAGAAAACAATGGGCGGAACTAAATAAAATGGAATTTTGAAAGGGGATCAGAGGTTATGAAGCCTGCGTATCACAGATAAGAGGTCAAAAGACAAATTTAAAAAGCAGGCAACATATATCCTAAGGGTGATTCAACATTATTCAAGTAGGAATATTGGAACCACCCGACTAGAAAATGCCGAAAAGTTGAAACTAAAAAACCACTAGCACAACAATAATGTCGTGCTGAACGATCTTCAAGGATCGAAAATATAACATCATTGATTAAATGTACGGGGAGACTTTTGACAGCCACCACACGGCACAAATAAAACGGATGTGATCATAAAATAGATAAACACAGAATCCATAAAGAAAGCGCAACGCGGCAAAATTGAAAATGTTGCAGGCTCGGTTTGATTGAGCCTGTTCATGAACGACCATAAGGCCATCTCGTAAGATGACCAGGGGATTATCTAGATGTACATATACTATAGTTTTCATGGAACAGAAATAAGGGGATCACGTAAGATTACAAGATCATCTAGATGTACATAAACTCTTTTTCATTATATAACAGATATAAAGGTATCACAAAAATGACCAGGGGATCATCTAGATGTACAAATACTATAGTTTTCATTGAACAGAAATAAGAGGATCACGTAAGATGACCAGGTGACATCTAGATGTATATATTCATTTTCATTCTGGAACATATATGAGGGGATCAAATAGATGACAAGGGGATCATCTATCTGTACATAAACTCTTTTTTTATTATGGAACAGCTATAAGGGGATCACGTAAGGATACAAGGGGAATATCTAGATGTACATTTACTATAGTATTCATTGAAAAGAAACAAGGAGATCACGTAAGCTGACAAGGGGATCATCCAGATGTACATTTAATATAGTATTAATTGAACAGAAAGAAAGAAGGGGATCACGTACGATGACCAGGGGATCATCTAGATGTACATACTCTTTTTCATTATGGAACAGATATGAGGGCATCGCATAAAATGACAAGGGGGTCACCTAAATGTTTATATACTATAGTTTTCATTGAACAGAAATAAGGGGATCACGTAACATAACCAGGCGATCAACAAGATGTACATATAATATTTCTTATTATGGAACAAATACTTTGTTTAAGGGGATCACGTAAGATGACAAGGGTATCATCTAGATGTACATATACTATAGTATTCATTGAACAGAAATAAGGGGATCACGTAAAATGAACAGGGGATCATCTAGATGTACAAATACTATAGTATTCATTGAACAGAAATAAGGGGATCACGTAAGATGACCAGGAGATCATCTAGATGTACCTATACTATAGTATTCATTGAAAAGAAATAAGGGGATCACGTAAGATGACCAGGGGATCATCTAGATGTACATATACTATAGTATTCATTGAACAGAAATAAGGGGATCACGTAAGATGACAATGATATCATCTAGATGTACATATACTATAGTATTCATTGAACAGAAATAAGGGGATCACGTAAGATGACAATGGTATCATCTAGATGTACATATACTATAGTATTCATTGAACAGAAATAAGGGGATCACGTAAGATGACAAGGGTATCATCTAGATGTACATATACTATAGTATTCATTGAACATAAATAAGGGGTTCACGTAAGATGACCAGCGGATCATCTAGATGAACACATACTTTAGTTTTCATTAAAGAGAAAGAAATAAGGAGATCAGGTAAGACGACCAGGGGATCATCTATGTGTACATACTCTTTTTTATTAGGGAACACATATGAGGGGATCGGGTAAAATGACAAGGGGATCATGTAGATGTACATATTCTATTTCTTATTAGGAACAGATACATTTAATAAGGGATCACGTAAGATGACAAGGGTATCATCTAGATGTACATGTACTATAGTATTCATTGAGCAGAAATAAGGGGGTCACGTAAGATGACCAGGGGATCATCTAGATGTACATTTACTATAGAATTCATTGAACAAAAATAAGGGGATCATGTAAGATTACAAGGATATCATGTAGATGTACTTTCTCTTTTTCACTTTGGAACATATATGATGGGATCACTTAAAATGACTTAAAATGACCAGGGAATCATCTAGATGTACATATACTATAGTATTCATTGAACAGAAATAAGGGGATCATGGAAGATGACCAGGGGATAATTTAGATGTACATATACTATAGTATTCATTTAACAAAAATAAGGGGAACACATGAGATGACCAGCGGATCATCTCGATGAACACATAGTATAGTTTTCATTGAAGAGAAAGAAATAAGGAGATCAGGTAAGACGACCAGGGGATCATCTATGTGTACATTTTTCATTATGAAACAGATATGAGGGGATCGCGTAAAAGGATCAGGTGATCATCTTGATGTGTATAATTATACTATAGCTTTCATTCAACAGAAATAAGTATATATACTATTTGTGTCCGTGGCCGAGTGGTTAAGGTCGTTGACTTCAAACCACTTGCCCCTCACCGCTTTGAGTTCGAATCCCGACAGGGACTTTGGATTCTTTCATGTGAGGAAGCTATCCAGCTAGCTTACGGAACGTTGGTGGTTCTACTCAGCTGCCCGTTTGTGCCTGAAATAATGCACGGAAGGGCACTTGAGGTCTCTCTCCACCAGTAAAGCTGGAACGTCGCGATAATCTTACGTGATCCACTTATTTCTGTTCAATGAAAACTATAGTATATGTACATCTAGATGATCCCCTCGTCATTTTACGTGATCCCATCATATCTGTTCCAAAATGAAAAAGAGAATGTAAATGTACATCTACATGATATCCTTGTAATCTACCAATAGCCATGAAAAAATCTTTAAGAAATACTAGCATCAAATAATAGTATCAAATACATACACCAAGAAGCTTCGGTTCCTTACTACCTCCTTATTAGCATAGTCTCCAAGACAGGTCTTTACTAGCTTGCAAGATTGAAATTGATAAACACAGAATCCCTAAAGAAAGCCCAAACACGGCAAAATTGAAAATGTTGCAGGCTCGGTTTGATTGAGCCTGTTCATGGACGGTACTGGAAAGTGCAAGTTACCGTCCACGCCCCCTAGCACCGGCTTAAGCAGAATTCAACATTTAAACGTGAAATAGTAAAATTTGGAAATTAGAAACATCCGCAGATGAGTCTTTCATGAGAAACAGTGTGCAAAGACTTAAGGTGATACTCACGACAGGGAGTGCCACATCTAAGAAAACGTGTGAAACATCTTACAAAGAAACATTTCTAGATTTGCATATTAATACCAATTCATAGTTTAGATTTTCAACCCTCTTGCCAATTTGTTCAAAATCGTTTGAGCGAGGAATAATAGCAGATACAATTATGACAGTAACTGATGAATAGTTCTAAAATCACTTAAAAAGTTGTAAATAAAAGACACAGATAATATAATTGTTCTTGTTGTTGTTTGTTGTTAATATATTTGTTGCTTTTATTTTTATTGTGTGTGTGTGTGTGTGTGTGCGCGCGCGCGCGCGCGCGTGTGCGTGTGTGTGTCTTTTTCTTTTTATTTATTTATTTTTTTTATTATAGTTTTGTCTCTATGTTGACATTTTCTGATACATCTCCAATGGAAGAATATCAATACAATAAATTATATTTATCCAGATTTGGTCAGTTTTAGATTATGCTGTTTTCATTGGTAGCCGAAACATACCCTTTGCTCGCCTTACTACTTTGTTAACATTTTAGCCCTAATTGTTCTGAATTTCATTCAATACACTTATAATCAGGGTTATTTGTAAATCTCGCACTTATCATCATTACAAGAATTTCAAAGAAGAACAGGTTCAATCCTATGAATCAAGTATTAAGGTTTACAAAGTAAAAAAAAAATGGCCTTGAGACATTAAGATTTGTTTTAGTTGTTGTTGTACTACATTTTGTTGAGGTCTTGTCGGGAAAACATGAATACATTTACTACAAAAATCTAAGCATCTATTCATTGTTTTATGTATGTACTGTTTTCATCGGAAAATTGGAACCTCAATTTAACTTCCTTGAAACCTAATATAACTTCCTTGATATTTGTTACACATCCATTGTTCTATTCGTGAATAGGAAATTAAATGACTTTTGAACAAATCTTGCGTCCGAGATGCTGATTGCTTGTAGTTGTATGTATCACTAGATAAACATTTGTCGCAGAGATGAACAATAATAGTAAATTTTGATGTCTTTAATCACCTAATTTAAAACTTTTTAAAGGAACTGATTGTGACATAAGTGAGTAAATAAACATTTGTAGTGTTCTTATGTATCATTGTTCGTTTGGGTTTATGTACGTAACAAATTACTATTAAAGTTCTGTTTCATAATAATTATAAAAGACTTTCTAAAAAGACTTGCCAAGTTTTATCTACATATTGTTTAAAATTAGTCTGTTTTGCAGCTTCTTATATTATAAACCAATTATTGTGACATGAATAATGCCATGGAGACGTTTATACAGTATATTGTTTACAGTATCGTTATATATTGTTTACAGTAATGTTAAGATTCATACTTCCATTCTCATTTTCTTACTATTTTGACAATGACAGGTTGTATAATATGATGTGGCGAGCATTGTTACTTGTTTTGGCCGCTAACTGTAAGTTTCATTTATTTTTATTTAAGACTTGAGAACATTACACTTACAAAAGACATTATCGAATTTGAATGAAGAATTATGATTGTAAATGTTTAAAAACAAAACTTATGATAACAATTTGAATTTTAGATAGTTATTACATTATTTTATTTTCTCTTTTTGCATGCCTTTTATCTTACATTTCTACTCAGAATAAGTAGCCATGCACTTGCAATTTCTATGAGAATAATATTTATATTCAATATATATTATAATAGAAGATCAAAATGATTGATTTAAATGGAGAGTACACAAATAACAATAAATGAAATTTTAAATATTGCCTATAGATAATTTTGTCTTCTACTTTGCCAAAACAAATAAAAATAAATGAATAATGAAAAAATGAATGAATAAAATATATAAAATAAACGACGTGACTCCTTCAAAAATCTAGAAATGTTCTTCAAAATATATCTGAAACGTTCAATTTATTATTAGAGTGGGATATTTTTTTTTGATATTTTAGGCAGTTTTAGTTTCGCTTAGGAGTAGTGGCGACATATAGGGATCCGTCTGTCCGTCCGTCACAAAACTTGTCCGGACTGCTTCTCATAAACTACTGGTGCAATTTCATCCAAACTTTCCAGGAATGATCAGTACCAAGTCTAGTTGTGCATATTATCAGCATTTTTCGGTTCAATAATTTTTGTCAGAGTTATGGCCCTTTAATAATTTTTATTTTTAAAGTTTGTCCGGACTACTTCTCTTATATTACTAATGCAATTTCAATGAAACTTTACAGGATTGATCTGTAGCTCAAATCATTGCGCATATTACACGGATTTTCTGGTTGAATGATTTTTGGCCGAGTTATGGCCCTTTGATAAAAAGATGTTTTTTTCTGTGTTGCCAGGTACACAAAAGCTTGTCCGGACGACTCCTCATAAAACAAAAGTGCAATTTCATCAAAACTTTACAGGAATGATCAGTACCAAGTTTAGTTGTGCATATTGTCAGCATTTTACGGTTCAATGATATTTGTCAGAGTTGTGGCCCTTTAATAATTTTTATTTTTAAAGTTTGTCCGGACTACTTCTCTTATATTACTAATGCAATTTCTATGAATATTTACAGGATTGATCTATAGCTCAAATCCTTGCGCATATTGCACGGTTTTTCTGGTTGAATGATTTTTGGTCTAGTAATGGCCCTTTGATAAAAATGTGTTTTTGTCTGTGTTGCCAGATACACAAAAAGCTTGTCCGGACTACTCCTCATAAACTACTTGTGCAATTTTATCCAAACTTTACAGGAATGATCAGTACCAAGTCTAGTTGCGCACTGTCCGTCTGTCTGTCCGTCTGTCACTGAAATTGGCCATCATGAGGCGACACATGTGATCACTGATCGCTCTTGTTACATTTTATCCTAACCATTTAAAGTCAATGACCATAGCAATAGTCCACCTTACAAAATATATAAAGAATTATTCCAAGTTAACAATGATACAAGTGAACTATTTTTTTTATAAGTGTATTGAATGAAAAAGTACTATTCCATGAATATAAGTGGTTGTTTGAATTCCTAAATCAAATAGTTCCAGAAGTTTGATGTATGGGATTGTTCAATTTCCGATGACAACTTGACAATTTTTTATTTGAATATTGCTTGAAACATTGCATGTATGGACATTTATCTCGAAAATCATTTTAACCGTAAAGTGCAGTTTCACTTACGGTAATATATTTGTAAGTATATATCTATATGTAGAAATATTTTTAAACTCTGTTACAGGTAAAGTATCAGAACACACAATAATTTCGCCAGCTTTCAAAGATGTATTGGTGAATAGCGCCCTTGGGAATTGGTGTTATACCAAAAAAATTTTTACATTTACCCCAAGGGGGAAGTTTTAAAATCACTTGGAAACCACTTTTTCGCCCTTTTCTCTTTGGGAACATTGGGGCCCTGTTATAACAGGGGGTTCCCTACCCCGAAAAACAATGATTTTGAAACGAGTTGCTATAGTAACGGCACCTTCAAAATGTACATAAAACGTGTAAATTTAAGTAACCATGGTCAAGAATGGTATTGTTACGGCGGTAATAGAAAGAGTAATATTGCTAATATTACTGTTCGAGGTAAGAATGTATCATTTTAGTATATTGGACAGCAGTTTACCAGTCAAGATAAATGTATAAGATTTCATTGAAATTCATTGTCAGGCTAATATCAATAGAAGTCATTTTAATAGCTATCTAATAAATTTCTCTAATTAAAATATGCATTATGAATTAAAAGTAAACGTGCATTTGTAGGACAATTACCAAAAGCTGGTTAGATTGTTTGATTTTTTTTCTGTAAATGAGGAAAAATGAAAAAAAATGCAACACCCGTAACAACCCATAACACCGGCTTGAGCAGTTCTCAATTTTCAACACTTAAAAGTGCTGGAATCCAAAACCCCGAAGGACAAGAAAAATAAAACAGCACTGCAGTGAAGTATGAGGCAACATTTCACAGCTGTAAAGCCAGGAAACATACACATTTGAAATACGCCTAAAAGATTCATGATCAGTCTATTTTTAAAAGGTTTCTAATGTTTGAATTGACAATTTCATAGTACATTGTATATATATTTGCAGTTCCTGCCACGGAAGTTACATTTGACTTTCATTCAAATAATAGCATTTACATGAATGAAAATCAAAATCAAACTTTTAGTTGCAAAACCTCAGCGTGTTTACCAAAACCATTAGTTAAATGGTACTTATTGAATCCCATCAACAATATAACCTACGATATAACAAACTAATCGACAGAATCATATATTCCAAAAGAAAACTGGTTGACAGTAGCTGAAAGTATTCTTCGGATTCTTCCGAACAGAACACTAGAGCACTGGCAGCTATACTGCGCAGTATGGACAAAAGAGAAAGCAGCAGACATTTTAAGTGATGAATTGGTACTGAACGTGGCATGTACGTATATGTACTATATATTTCGAAAGTTACATTTTATTTTCCTTTTGTTCATACCAAGATAAAATTAAGTGTTGTTTTTGTCTAACATAAAAGGCTTTAAACTTTCAAAACATTTGTAAATGTACTTACTATTAATTCAGATGCAACTTTATGGATTTGTCAAAAAGGACATTTTTGTTTGTTCTCAAATTCGTAAAGTGCCTGCCTTAGCAAAACTAGTAAAATGCAAATATTGTTGTGTGAACTTTAATTCTTAGTATGGCCTATCGACGAAAACGACGCAAACAAGTGTCCCACAAAAATAATGATTTTTGCTCTATTGCCCTTTTATTATTTTAGATCCACCAGATGGTCCCCCAATGATAGCGAGCTACAGAAACGGCTCTACGATACATGTTCTCGAGACAGAATTGCTTAAATTGACCTGTTCTGTAACTGGCGGAAAACCATTAGCGACCTTAAGAATGACCTGTTTAAACAGTAATTCAACAGCAACTGTTACCAAAGAAACGACGGTGACTGTGTACATTGCACTACAAGTGAATCGCAATCATAGTCAATGCATATGTCAGTCTGATCATATGATTAGTGGTACACAAAAAACATACGTCATGCTCGATGTGCTGTGTAAGTGGAATTTCATTAAAATATTTTGATTTTTAAATTTGTCAATAACCATAACTGATAATTCATCTTTCACACCCCCATTTGGTAAATCTTTGTAATTACCTGTAAGATAAAATACTTTACATGTATTGACCTCCTCAGATGCATGTTAAATATTTTGCTGTTAAAGTAATGCTTATGATAATATTAAGCTGCTTATTTGCACATTTATTTAGTGTGAGCAATGCAGTAATCCAACCGATTAATTTGAACTCATCAGATGATCTCGAAACGGAAATAGAACACGACTTCAAGTATTGAAGTGTCGTAAGTTACAAGATACAGGTACTCCTATTAGTTATATCTGTATGACACTTCTTTCAGTTCAACCCCGTGAAGTCCGCTTCGGAATGGAGGCAGGAGAAAGTTTGATTGTAAATCAAAATGAAGAGGTGACTTTTCAATGTTTCGCTGAGTCTAATCCTCATCCAGATATTGTTATCAGGAATCAAAGAGATGAACAGATCATAATGATGGAATATGCCACTCATGATGTTCAACATACAATTCCTAAAGTATCTTGTGCTGATGCAGGGGAGTATGTATGCTCTGCTAGGAATATGTTAACAAATGGACAAGGAGCACTTTCAAGACTCAGTCTCATTGTAAGATGTAAGTCTTTAAACTCCAATTCTGTCCGTTTTTCATCTTTCATTTGTAAATTTATCAATTTTTCGTGCATGTCATTTCATCTATAGAAACCGTTGATCTGGAATTAGATCTAACATAAACGATAAAGCTTTGGAAATATTATATCAATTCTCTTTAAGTAAAATTGTACTAACTTGTATTAAAACATTTACGGATCATACTTGCTTCACATAAAAATAATGAAGCACCAAGTTAAGTTTGCAAGAGACATGTATAAGTTTAAGATGACTTTTTGTGATTAAATATATTTACATCGATGATAATGTTTATAGGTCGTCCACGTCCGTCAGCTGATACAGTAAAAGAAACAAAGATAACTGCTCTTCTGCATGTTGACGTCACGTTGCAATTTTTAGCTCAAGACTTTTTTGACGAGCAAAACAAAACAGCATTCGCATGGTATAAACAGAAAGTGCCAATACAAAATGACGGCAATAAGTATATTATATCATCTTATGGTTTACAATCTAACTTGATAATCAGAAACATTACATACTCAGATTATGGACAATACCAAGTTGTTGTCAGGAATTCATTTGGACATAATACCTACTATTATGAATTGCTGGAAAAAGGTAAAAACAATAAATGTTAAAAAAAATAAAATTACGTGTCAATTAACATTTCTTGATAATCTACATTTCCCTAAAAGTAAAATATTTCAAAGTCACAAAGCGATGCTATGCTACAATTTTCATTTTTTTCAAATGTGTCTGTTTGTTGTTCTGTAACAGTTTCGTAAACGGCACTTAATTATGGACTATATTGGTTAGTTATCTCTTTGTGTTTGGCCAACTAGTAATTAGTAATGTTCTAAGTGTTTTTGATATTTGTAAGGAATCAAAATACCACCTTGCTTACGTTTTTAATATTTATCTCGGCTTTCTCCGCTTGATTTAGCAGTTAACATGTTTTAAATCCATTACAAACACATTATAAAGCATATGTTTGCCTTTTGAAAGAGATAATTAACTGACATACATACTAAACACCATAATATGTATATAACTTATACTAGTAATTACCTTTTAAAATATTATTTATTGATTGGTAGCTTATTACAGGTGCAACTGTAGTGAATCATGATTTACAAATGTAAAGATGGGAAATAACACGAAAGCGCTTTAAGTTAATGTAGTTATATATTTCTTTCCTAAAATACAGCTCCTCAACATTCAACCGAGCCTATAACAGCCTCGACACTATTTGGGGTCACAGTTGGTGTATCTAGTTTCACTTTTTTAGTGGTTGTATTGGCATTCTTATTTTGGATATATACCAGGTAATGAAAATGTCACAAACGGGACAACATAAATAAATAAATAGATAAAAAAGACAACAAAAATAAGAAAACAAACAAACAACAACAACAAAAACAAAAACAAATCAAATTTACTTATAAAAAGTAACAACAACAACAGAAATCCACAAGAAAAAATACAAAAAAGCATCCCTCGACAAAAAAACAACAACAAATAAAAACACACACAAACAAAAGATCCCAATCCCAATTTATATGAAAATAAACCACTGTTTCATATCTTGGTCCACATAAAATAATAAAATTGCGTATTTCAGCCATAGTCTATTTTACCTCGTTCGAAATGTTGGTAACATTACACGTTTATCAGATAGTTTTTCTCTTTTAAATTAAAAAACATGCGATAATTATATAAAGAACATGTGGATAAAATATGTATGCAGCTATTCAACAGCTATTTCTATATCACTATTTATCTTTTATTTCAGACGTAAACGCACTTTGAAGATAACAGACAGAAAAACAGCTGGTATGCAGTTTTAACGCATGTTTTAATCCGCACTTTAACTATCAGTCACAATGAAACAAGAAAATATAAACGTTAGACATCATATAAGCTAGCTTAGTAATGATTAAAAGTTACTAAAATAAAAACAATACTAATTTACCAATAGCCGAATATCCTCTTGTGAATAAACACGATAAAGTCTTTTAAGCATGTCCTGACATTTTCACTCCATCAGAGTTTTATCTCACATTAAATCTTTATCATTATACACATACAAGTTTATAGTAAGGATAAGTAAGTGGTATTCTTTACAATTCATAGCGGAACGTGATATTTGATCGCTACAGTAAAGTAAATATATTTAGATTTCAATGCTTTTTTAATTGTTTTTAAATTGTTCTGTTCTAGAGGTTATCAATGAATATCAGGCTACTACTAGGCATAATGACAATGATGCAGAAAATATGTATGAACAAATTGATGAGCAATGAACTGCAAGAGGGGCATACATTGAGATGCAAGGAATCAAAACGGACAATGATACAAACTGTGAATATATAGATATGACAATACAAAACTTATCCGATGACAAAAATATGGATACTAACCAAATCGTTTTGTACAAAACTTAGTTTATTTGTTTCACGTTTAGTTCATATATATTTTTACATAAATATTTAAATCTGTAAATTTTCACAAACAATATTGTACCTATTGTTCATGATATATTGAGAGAATCCCCATTAATGCTCTGTATATAAATAATTATAAAGTTACTAAAACCCTCCTGTTTGCATTCTCTTATGAACTGTTGTTTATTTTGAACTAGAATAGCTAAATTATAAGATTGAATGACGCTGATCGTTATAATTATTTTTATGAGTGGATTTTAGTTCGTGGTTTACATAGGTAATAAACAACTTTCTATTAGTTCGCTAATAATTTTAGCGGTAAACATTTTTGTCTTTTTCACCTTTAAAGTTTTAGTTTATTCTGTATTTGGTTGGCAAGTAGTTCACATGTTGGGATTCTGATTTCCCCTCCTATCCTTCCCTATTTGTGTGTTATCTGTATATCTAATTGTACAATAATGTTTTCATCAAGTGTATATTTTTCCTCAATGTTTGAATATTTGCTTGATGATGAATATTACTACTGTAATGATGATTGTGCTAGTATATGGTTAGACAAAACTATTTTGATTCTGTAAATTGACATATTTGTATTTGTTAAAAGAATGTGTTTACAATATAAATATGAAACATGTAATCTCAAGTTTACTTAGTTTATATTCTATCAAGATCTAAATTTCTCTTGTCTTCTCATTCAAATTAAAACTTATAATTCACTTTTGTGAATCACATGGACCCTCTTGGATAATTATTCAAAGATAAAAACAAAAGAATGTCATAGCTTCACTAGTCATTATTCTATTGTTGGCAGTTTCCGAAATGTCTATCTAAATGTGTTATTTTCACTATCAATATTTGATAATGTATGCTATTTTACCTAGTATATCTAATAACGCAGGAGTGTGTAAGGTTGACTTCCCGTTGTTGTGATTGACTATTGAATCATTTCAAAGGTCTTTCGCGTTGAACCCCTGATCTGGCATGTTAGGAAGTTATCAGTTACTTGCAAAAGTAAAGGCAACTAGTACATGTAATGCCCAGGAACGATGCCGTGGCATAACTGTGCTACAATCTACATACATCACCATCTAGTACAGCAGCAATATACAATGTATTATCACTGGCACTTGTAGTACTGTGTGTAATACAAGCGATGAAATCTTGAATAATACCATTCTATGGGAAATAGAACACCAGCATAAACTACATATTGACATGAAATTAGATTTAAATTTTTAATAAAAAAATTAAATAATTGAAGTCTCAGATATAAGTCTTGTTATTTTCATTGACGTTTTTTTACAAAAGTATTGTCAACAACTTTAATGTATCGGTACATTCAATTTTAAAAAGAGTGTGGCACTCTTTTTATAATTAAGGTAGTTTTTATACTTTATCCTACACATTTCCTATTTATAATTAGGAAATTAAATAACTTTTGAACTTTACAAAAAATGTTGCGTCAAAGTTGCTGATTTATCATCTTTTTGTGTATCATTAGATAAACATTTGTCGTAGAACAGTTATAGTAAATCTTGATGTCTTTATTCACCTTATTTAAAATAATTTATTGGAACTAATTGTAACATAAGTGAGTAAATAAACATTTGGAGTGTATTCATATGTATCATTGTCATTGTCCGTTTGGATTTATGAACGTAACAAATTACTATTTAACTTCTGTTTTATAATTAATGACTTTCTTAAAAAGACTAGCCAAGTTTGATCTACACATCGTTTAAAATCAGTCTGTTTTGCAGCTACTTATATCAATACCGTTAATAGTATTGTGACATGGATATTGCCATTGTATATTCAAATGTATTTTTACTTAATATTTATTATAATGTTTGCAGTGATTTTCAAATGCACACATTTCCTTACTATTTTCACAATGGCAGGTTGTATAATATGATGTGGCGAGCATTGCTACTTGTTATGGGAGTTAACTGTAAGTTTCATGAATTTATTTTTAAGACTTATTGAAAAAGGTCTGTCTCTTTTGCGTGCCCTCATTGCATATTTTAATCGGCAATAAGTAGCCATGCCTATTTGTAACATAATAAGAAAAATAGTTGGTCAATATATTATGATAGATGATATTGATTAAAAAAAAGGTTTTATAAAGTGGATTTGTTTTTACATTTTTGCCCATTCCTGCCAATTCCTGCTATGTTTTACAGTGTAATCTAATAACTATTCTATAAGTATATGAAGCGGTTGCTTGAATCCACATTATAGCATAAAATCGGCTATTTCCCTCTTTTGCCCATGTTATAACGAGACCAAAACCATGTGTTAACATAGTCACGCGCTCTTGTTATAGCCCGGTTTTACCTATGCATAATACATACAAGGCCCAGTAAACAAACAAAACAAACAAAAAACTGTTTGCCAAAGAGTCTTGCGCTCTTGTTATATAGAAATTATTGATTCGAGGGCCTCAATCGTATAACGGCGAGCAGCATTCAAGTAACTATTCCGGAAATACGGCGTGTAGACATCGCCGCTTATCTTGGTTGTCGCCCTTTCTAAGAAACGGACAGTTGACAATGTAAACAAATATCTGTCATTCAGTTTAACCCTCCGATGTACACAAAATGAATATGAGAAAATGTTATTTTATTGATGTTTATATTGATAAATGGTCTTTATATTTCTTTGAGAGAATAATGTTTAGTGCCTGATTTTTTTTATAAACCTGTGTACTTGGAAAAAAAAACGATTCTGATGTCACTGATCTTTTTTCTACCGTCAATCGGAAATTTTGAGGGTCATGTTTTGCCTTGGGTAGAGTAATTTAATGTTTTTTATTGAGTTAATCAATCTCCAATGTAAAGCTTTGAAATTTCGCACAGTTCTGAGCATTTGTATTTCCCAAGAAAAATGTTTGAATTTCCATTGAAATTCATTGTCAAGCTAATTCATTTAGATAACTATCTGGTGAATCTTTCTAATTGAAATATACAATAATTGAAAGTTAACATATTTCTATAGGACAGTCACCAAAAGGTTGGTTAGATTGTTTGATATTTTATACCATGTTACAGCTCTTTTATTTTCTATATTTAACCTCTGATATAGCTTTTGTTCTACTTTTAAACCTTTACTGATAATGAATCTTTCGTATCCACAATTCGACAACTTTTTTAAAATTACGTGTAAGAGAGAAAAAAATATAATCTATTCCCAGATGCTTGTTTGAAAATATTTTGTTCAAATATTATAGTGTCGTAAGTTACACGATACAGATGCCTCTATTAGTTATATCACCATGTTTCGTCCAAACGCTTTGTAAGAAAAGTGATATTATATGCGGAAGAAATTGTGTCCTCTACATTCCTTTTATTACATTACAATAAGATAATCGCTCCGTCTAAATTTATGACACTTTTTTACAGTTCAACCGCGTGGAGTTCGCTTCAACTTCGGAATGAAGGCAGTAGAGAGATTAGTTGTAAACCAAAATGAAGAGGTGATTTTCCAATGCTTCGCGTAGTTTAATCCTCATCCAGACATTGTAATTAGAAATCAAAGAGATGAAGAAATCATAATGATGAAAAAAAAACAAGTTCTGTTCAACACATTATTCATAGGGTATCTTGTGCTGATGCAGGAGAGTATGTGATCTGCTAGAAACATGGAAACAAATGGACAAGGAGCACCATCCAAACTCGTCCTTATCGTAAGATGCTAGTTTTGAAATACCTATTCTGCCCGTTTTTCATCTTTCATTTGTAAATTTATCAATCTACGTGCATGTCGTTTGCACTGCTAAATAATATATACAAAATGTTGATCTAAAATGAGACCTTATATAAAGGATTCCAGCTTTGAAAATAGTATCGATAACTTTTGAGTAACATGGTACTTACTAGTATTAATTAATTTACTGATCATTCTTCCTTCAAAGTAAAGAAGTACTGAAGCACCAACTTAAGTTGACAAGATAAACTTATGAGTTAAAGACGGCACTTTGTGATTAAAAATATCTACTTCGTTGATTATGTTGGTAGGTCCTCCACGTCCGTCAGCTGGCACTTTAAGAGTGACAAAGATGCATTTTGACGTCACGTTGCAATATTTACCCCAAGAGTTTTTTGATGAGCAAAACAAAACAGTATTTGCATGGTATAAACAGAACGTGTCATTACAAAATGGCGGCAATAAGGATATTATATCATCTTATGGGTTACAGTCTAATTTAATCATCAGAAACATTACTCAGTCAGATTATGGAAGGTACCGAGTTGTTGTCAGGAATTCATTTGGACATAATACCCACTATTATGAAGTGCGGGAAAAGGGTAAACAGTTGTTACTGTTTTAATTCTTCAAACATCAATTGAAAATTCTTAAATATCTACTTTTCCTAAAAAGTTAAATATTTCAATGCAGTAAAGCACGCGATGCTATGATTTTCGTTTCTCAAAAATATATGTTTGACATGTTTGATGTTCTGTTACAATTTCTTATTTTTGTTTGTTTGGGTTTTAAGTCATACCGACACAGTATATTCCTCGTAGGAGCAGCTAAAGCAAATTTGGATAAATAACGGCAAAGCATGTGATGAGCAAACACATGGGGAAAGATTTGCTTTACCTTTGTTTCTTTTGTTTCCTAATTAACTCAATCAAGAATATCTGATTACCGCCCTTGTTAAGTCTATTTGCGTAAGAACGCGATTTCTTTTGTAATATATATCGATCTAAATATAATCAAAATTAGCTAGAAGTTGATAAAACACATAGATACTTATGTGTTTCTCAAAATATAGAGATACATCAAATAGGAGGAAGAATATCCGCCTACAAAACGTGTCATATAGACAATATCAAACTATTTAAACGCTTTCCGCCACAGACACTTGGAGTGTGGAGCTCAAAACGCCTTTAAAATCCAAATAAAATGTATATTTGTCAATCCCAGCACATGTACTGATCAATTATACAAAAAAATTAATATAAGCCGTTTTGAAAAAAAATCATATTTCAACGTCTATTATAATACACAAGATAAAAATGTTCGCCTGAAAAAATATATATGATCAGTACATGTGCTTGGGTTGACAAATATACATTTAATTTGCATTTTAAAGGCGTTTTGAGCTCTACGCCTCAAGAGTCTGTGCTTTCCGCGTGATTAGCTATTGCTAATAATGGACAAATCGTCATGGTGGTCATCGTTAAAAAACCGGGTAAGGATATAAGTAAATATCACAAATGGCTATGTAAATATATCCCTTACACTCTCGTATTTATCATGCACGGGCCGTTATGAATATTCTGAATTAAAGTAATAGTATACATCCATATTATATTTCAACGGTGTAATATTTTGTCTTAACTTTGTGATTAAAACAAAACTAGTATTTTAAGAAAACTTCAACCCAAACTTGAATTTTGTATTTCGAACTGAGCGCTCTTGATGGTGTTGATTCTGTTCAGTTCAGTCAACTGCCTATTGTTTTTCAATATTCAAAGCCTCTCCCATCTTAATGAGTACTTAGAATTTGGACCATTGGTAATTTAACGTTCTTTTACACTTAGCTTTTAGTTTCCATTGCGTCGTAAAAGAGCACAGGGGAGGTTTATACAGAGACAGCCACTATGGTTCGACCTGCATGTGCTTACAGGCACACCTTGAAGTTTATAGGGCT